TATTTACCTATCATAACAATACTGACATTAATTGCATAATGATGCGATGACGATGATAAATTAAGACGTAAGTTTAATTTAAGACAGAATTTAATCTATGTTTTTATTAATTCCACATTTGGTAGACAGTATTCGATTAAATTTTATTTTTTCGGTACATCCAAAAACTTACGTTATTACAATTACATTAATACTAGATAGAGATTCTGCTTATTATTTTCCGTAGGTACAGTCGAGAGTTCAGCGATAGGTTTACGGTTATGGTTAAACTATCGATTTGTTTTTTCACGCAATACAGCTAAAATTTAAAAATATTACGTTAAAATCATTTAATTACCTGTCATTGGCGAACTTTTACCGAAGAATCTTGTTAGCAGCATTAATTAGTAAATTAATTAAAAAAACTATTTACCTGCAATATTACTTGCAAAGGTCTGCTCACTCTGCATGCGGGTGCGGGAGGTTCGTATCCCCAGAAGCAGTTCCAAGGCATCTTTGATTAATTATTTTTCATTATTATAAGTAGAGACTAATGATCACATTTTAGGAGCACATTAATACGAGGCCTCTAGTTTAATAATAGTTCGAATTATTTTAAAATAGTTTCTTTTCGTAAATAGTAGCGTAAGTTTTGCCGGCATAGGCGAGAGAGCCGCGGGCATAGGAGCGGGCGGCCGAGACACAGGCGCGGTGCGACTGAGCCGGGCTGGCCAGCTGGTCCGCACCGCCGCCGCTGGCGACCGTAGATCCTACCATTGACACCAGGGACTCATTCAAACCTTACAGTGACACCATCAGATTTTGCCCCATTTTAAAACCCTTGTCGTACCTTTAATTTATTAACGGATCGCGCTGATTATATTTGAATCTTGTTTAACAATCAATGGGAACTGTATAATGGTTAAAATCTTTAACTAGAAACGTTCAAAATATAATTACAGTTATTGTTAAAAGGAAACAGTACAGCAAACTGTAGTTAAGCTAACTGTTTGAATGTGAAAAACACAGTAGAAAACATCAACCTAATTAACTAGGTTGTAAGATAACTGTACAAGGACGATCATTACCTACTTTACCAGCCTGCATGATTGTTCAATATGTTCGTTTGAAATTGGAGGTAACTTAAACTGAAGGTTTGTCTATGTTACGTAAGCTATCCAGTCTCTACGCTTTTCCTATTCAGGTCTATATTACAATTTCGTTGCAGATGGTGAAAAGACGCAACTCTACTTCTCTACATTTCTTGGATTGTTTTTGTTATTGAAATTTCTCATTTCTACATACAGTGATTTATTTTTGAACCAAGTTTAATGCTCTCGCTACTTGCGTGTAATGAGTTTAGCCGCCTATTATTAGCAAACCGTGTCCATTTGGGTACTTCCGGCGTCACAAATAGAAAGCCATTGCGTCAAATCATTATTGTCACCTTAGTAACATTTTAAGAATATCAAATCGAAATGTTGTTCCGAACTTTAATGGGTTGTAAAATAAAAAATCCATAAACAACTAAAATCCTACAAATCCCAAAGCTCTTTATCTTTATAGCTGAAACAAGAAGTGTATTAGTTGATAGAACTATAAAGTCCCGTAAATTTCTCACAAGTTGACCGCTGATCATGCTCTAATATCGAGATATTTTTATGGCCGTGACATTAACATGCATACAACACTTTAAATCCATTAAAACATCTTCGGGATTATGTCGGGCTACCAGCTTTATCTTTGGGCGATTGTAATACACTATAAGTCCAAATTGGTCGGGCTTAGGGAGGCCCTTCGCGTATCACATATGATTTTTGTAATGGGTTCATTGACTAGCTCTATCTATGATTGTTTCTAATAAAACCGCTGGCGTGAGACTTGACCAGTAATGCAAGCGTATGCATTCTATTCAAATAATGTGTAAGTGAAATACTTAGAACTTTTACCGCGTTTTAAAGAAAAATAAGGCAAATTATAGAGTTCCGAAAGTAGAGATCCCAAAGTTCTGTTTTGGTATTCAGTTTGGTTGCAGGACCAACATAGAGGTGAGTTGGTACATTTCAGATTTCAGCGAACGTTATTATTGCCCAATAACGATGTGTCAAAACTTAATTCTTTATTGTTGGGTAACAATCAGTAACTAATTAATTATTTTGCGCATCACAGAATTCATAGACCCTTAGATGACAACAGGCTAATGCAGTGGTTGCAGTGGGAATATCTAGGACTACTAATCTAAGTGTGTAGGTAAGTAGGTACCTACTTAACTTGTTACTAAAAATCAAAAAGTCTACCTTCTTGCAAGTTACAAAGCTTACTTACCTACTCATGCAAAGTTTTAGAACTTACTTTTATATGTCTTTACTAATTTAATTAAAAAAATAGCCAGGTAATTAATCAATTAGTTAGGTTTAATTAATTATTTACAATTTTAAAAAATCACGAACCTTCAACACCAAATGCAGAGGCGGGCTGACAGCAAGGGGCTGCTGCCGGTCCCGCGACCACGGGCAGCTCCAAGGCATGCTGATATTGCGGTCCTTTTTACGATCGGTCTTTGCACTGTTGACCTCACAGTCACATAACTTTACACACAATCACAACAATCGGCATAATATCAGTTACATTACAATTTTATTATACTTAGCCGATGAATTTATTATTTAAATTAGTTACTGCTACTTTTGATTGTTGGGTAAGTATATTCGGCGCGATTGAGGACGAACTCGTGTTGGTGCGAAGTCCGTGCAACAGGATAACGGGGTACGCATGCGTGCGTGCCGCCGGGCGCGCGACTCGGGACTAGGCCTGCGAGCCCGGCTTCCAGACGGAGTCCCACACGGTCCTAATCGCTCCCGAGTTGGGTCGCGCGCACGCCCCCCGCCAGGATACGGGTACGGGCCAGGATCAAAAGGTCCAGACAGATAGGTAAATACCGTAACGAATTCCAATGTTCTTTGATTTTGAAATGTCAATCAGTTTAGGAAGAAATACAATAAGCAGCTTTTTAATCTCTAAACACTTCCAAAAGTAAAACAAGAATGTCAAGGGTCTTATACGCAGGGTGCAGTTAAATTAACGCCAAACAGTTAACATTAGTGATTTTTACCTTCTCCTTAGAAAACGATGGAGGTCAATATCAACGGCAATTTGGTGTAGGTATCTAGCTAGTGGTTGCTACCCGACTACTACTATGCCAGAGGTCGCGGGTTCGATTCCCGCACAGCACAAAATTGTGTGCATTGAACAATGTCAACAAAATTTCATTTTAGGTACTAGTCGAAATTACAGCTGAAGTAGGTAGTAAAAGGGACAACAATAATGGTTATATTGCCTATCGATAATAATCGCCGAATATCGCTTTATCGCGACACCGTAGACTCGTAGAAAACGCAACTCAGGAAAAGCGGAAACCCACTTCCGTTTTTTCTTTCGCTCTCATCAAATGGTAATTCTTTGCGACAATTCCGCAAATGCATTTCATTTTATTGATGTGAATACACGGTGACATTTTACATTGAGACCCTGAATCCTAGTGTACAAACTGTATTTCAGGAGCCAAAAAGGGTGGAACTGTGGCCCCCACTGTAAATACATACTTCCTTACTATCAACTGCTTACAAAGAAAATAATTTATAAATATAATATAGATACACTTATCTAACCACCTACGATTGGGCAGGGGCTCTCGTTAAATAATACTGCCGCAACAAGTCCGCTCATCCGCCAGGCAAATTTAGGCCAATTTGCTGCAAATTCAGCTGACCTCATCAATTAATTCACCTTATCGACAGTATTCTATGTTAATTAAACTGAATTAGCATTGCCTACGGTCAGAAGGTTATTTTCACAAACCGAATGATACTTTAGTTTAGTTATCCAGAGCGAAACTTTATTAAATTGTATTTTTTTAAATAATATATTGGTTCTTATGTTGGCATGAAGTGACTACAAATCACAGGTGACGACAAGGTAGAGCCAAAATCACCTCATCACACTGAAAATAAGTAATGGGAAAATGTGACCACCTACCTACTATTCTTTGCAAACAAACGGGTTAATCGGAACTGGCACTCTGCTGGCCATTGAAGAATTAAGAGCTCGGGGTTAGATTTCATTCCTTCTATTTGAAAATTAAGTTAATAGTACGTAAATTAATTGTCACACATACCTGCTCCAGGACCAGTTGATACTCCTTATTTTTACGCCACCCCAATGATGCCAGCCAGTTCTTAAACATTTTCATGACGAATCGCACTAATGTGAGAACTGTAATGACTGAGATAGCTATCAATAGAGCTAAAATCAGGTACACTATTGAATACTCGAAAAGTATTGGATTTTCAAAACTTGTATGGGGTTCGTAGGCTACCATATCTTTGTAAGATTTTTTGGTTACATCGGCTAGTTCGAAAATATAATCGTGCATGAATCTGAAGGCAGCCTCATTGCACCGATGCCTACGAGAGGACTGACAGAGTGAGCCTGTTGCCCAATGCTACCTAGGTATACAATGAATGAACTGCTAATTTAAATTAACGCAGTGTTAAAATGAAACGCATTGTAGGTAGGCAGTTAATTTAGAGTACAAATTTGAATTAAACACTTCCCTTAGATGTTTTTTTTGCAAACATGAACATTAAAAACTTTTGATTAAATCATAATGTAGAAATATAATTATTTATATGTAAACATTTATGGAATTATACCTCTAGGTTATCTGGAAGAGATCGCTTTATACCTAAGATCGCCTAAATTATGCACTCTATATTGTATTCTTTCTTGTCTTGTTTTGTGTGTGATGTAGGTATAAAGTGTTATCTATCTACGAGTATCTATCTTACTATGAGAAGATTTTGAATTCAGCATTAAATCTACCTTAAATAATCTCAAAAACTATTAATCAGAAGGTTTTATTAAATAAAAACACGTGTCATTTAGATATTAATATATTTTCGAATCTAAAATGTACAAAAAAATACAACTTAATATGTACTCAATAATGCCTGATTTATCAATGAATAAAACATTATTTCGATTAGCTGGGAGGTACTATTTGTCGATTCCCATAATTGACAAATACAATGTCGTGGTAAAAGTTTCTGGACAAGCTACTAGGAACGAAAAAAAAGAGCGTAAGCCATCACTCATACTACCCATCTGTTTACTTTTTCTTATAGTTATTTATATCGCTTCCAATTTTATTTACCAAAAATAATAAATTCGATTTTTAATATCAGGGCGGTTGTGTAAAGGCTTCGACAAGATATTGGATGTATTCACATACAGCTGTACAATTTCATTTGTATCTTTTCTAAAATAAACATAACGACCTATATTAAAATTATTATTTAATCAACCATCACTTTATAACAACTTTGGTTGTGTATGCTACTCGTAAAAATATAGTATTTAGCTATTTACAATATATAAACATACATACATACAATGCGTAGAAATGCACAGCAACACAAAAGGCCTTAACTAACATCAGATAACTAAATAACACAGATATATCAGACGCCCGCTGAAAAGACTTGTCAGAAACTAAGACTAGCTCGGAGTTCACATCTGAGTAACAGCTCAATAAACCCTCACAGGTTACACTTCACATTCTAAATGTGTCATTATTATTAATAATGTTAAATAACACATAAATAGGAATTCGAAATATCTTTTCTGCGAGTGTCTAATCACTAAATCACTTTGCAATGTTTGGAAAAGCATAACTAGTTCTTTTTATCTATAACAGAATGTTAAACCTAAAAATGTACACAATATAAAAATACCCTTGGTCGCAGACGACAGGCCAAGACAAGAGACACGATTTTATACAAAAAATAAAATCAGTATGTACGGGATATGCCTCAATGTGTTAGCAACTGTCATCCCACTACAAATAAATACTTTTATCACACATATTCTTTCTTACATATATAAATTTTAAAGAACCCTTTAATAGTAGTGGAAATATCTAAATAACTCTATCAAATATGAAAAATCAGTATCGAAACTAATTATGCTTTGTCCGTTCGAAACAAAGATTCCCGTACCCATCCTTGTTTCTAGCTACATGGAGCCAAGTGATACCATTAGTCCCCTGTCACAGCGCAAATTCGTCTTGATAAAAAAATATTTCTATTATATCGACGTATCACATTCTTGTTAATACAGTCCAATTTTATTTTTTCTCTGTAACATTGGATGGAAAGTTTGGACCCTATTAATTGTATTTTTAATTAGGTAAACTTACACTGTGACAACGTCCTAATATGACCTTACATACAAAATTAATAATTATAATGTTCTTATATAGAATTCCAATCATGCATAACATTTCAATATAGTTCCGCTTCAGAATTCTTATTCTCCCAGAATTGTAATATATTTAGTATTCTTATGCCCTTAATAATATTTGTCGACATTACGTTAATAACTCTGACATGTCCAATTTCTTAAAAGTAACAATTAAAATCAAAAACTTTTTTTTTTCAACCAAAATTTGTGTAATTTCGTAGTCCGAAAAGAAATAAGGGCTAGGTTTTTGTTAATATCGCGGCTTAAGGTTGCTGTTTGTACAATAATTATTGAACTATGACTACAGACTGATTTTTACAATGAGGTATAAATCCAACACACAGAGATGAATAGCTTCCTAAGATTCTATATAAAGTTAATCGATTTGCATACAAGTAATATCTATACTTTATTCATTTATTCATTTATAAAAGCCCATTTGATGTCTCACTATTAAAATATTAATGTGTCTTATCATAGGAATATTATTTCGTTGGTAATAATATCATATTTTTACAAACTCTAGATGTATCAGTTTGATGTTCACTTTTAACAGTTATAAGATGAGGGAACAGAACTTCTAGCCTTCTAGTTACAAGGGATCTGATGAGGTTTTACCGTTGTATAATTATTTTTGCTCTTATTTTGGAAGACGAAATATTTACCAATGCTTAATTAAAAGAGATTTGAATCAAAACTTACGGAATTAACATAGTGACGCTGTACTTTTAACCAAGAATATTTACCAACTCGTATATTTTTTTTAGTCTAAAATGCAAATTATTTCCAAAAAAAAATTCTTTTTCTTTTTATTTCTAATTAATACACATACATGTATTTTGTGTACTTATTTTATAGTAACAATTCTTTTAATTTATGTGTGTATTTTCTAATTCCTTTTATTTTATAATAATTTATTATTTCTTCATACATTTAGGTGAAATTGAAAAAATATTTTATCTTTAACTTCAGGCACCTATGCATCATTCGTAACAGTTCGTCTTATTTACATTATTAATATCGGGAAACCAATGGTATTACATGCAATGGACGTTTTTCCATACATCATAGTATTTAGTTATTGATTACATCATCTAGTTACGCTCTCGTAAATATGCAAAAAATATAACCTTTCTATGTGTACAATGTACATTAAACATCTTATTGAGAAGGCTGAATGCATTAGATGCTGTTCCACTAGCGATTCGATAACACAAGTCTTCGTAATTCATATCACGTAGGTTTACTTCAATGTTGTCACTTCAAAAGGCCTTTACTTGTACTTTATTGATTCGACGTCTACCTATTGTACAACGCTATGAACTGCCTACCAATAAATTAAAATGGAATGAAGTGTAAATTACTACAGCTGGGACTCCGTACATTTAATGTTAGTCTTAGGCGTATTTAACTTTCAGATTTACTTTAATTCAATTACAGCTGAAATTAATTGGTCAGTAACCTACGTGTCTGAACTATTTATTTATTCCTCAATGGTACAAAAATATTTCTATATTTATAAGTCTGTTCTTTTGTTTAACTCGGCTTCACGGTACTCTAACATATTTGTACGTTCGTCATTATAGGTAGGTAATATAACACATCACAATATACTTCTTAAATGTGGATACTAGTCTACATTAGGATCTTGTGAAGAAACCAGATAGATCACAAAAATAAGCCAGCCCTCAAATAGTTAAGTACTTTAAGACCGCATTAAGTTCTTGCCCTTGCAAAAGCTTTTGGAGAAACATTTTGGAGAAATTATGAAACATTTTATTCAGTCACAATTACTGGAGTTATTCTATAAAAATTACTTCTTTCACATTTAAATTTTAATATACCATTTACCATGTATACATACACTCCACCAACATTTTTATCGTTTATGTACCACTTACTTACATGTTACAACAATCGTAAGACCCTACCCAATTTTAACCATACAAGGAAGAAACACTATGCGAATGTGAAATAAGGTGGTACAACATAGATAGGTATCTAATAGTTGGTGTTGTTTGCTTTGAAGTTTACTATTTATGGTCCCAAATAGAATAGTTATGGGAACTATTTAAACTGTTTGGATGGGCAGTATTCAAATCACATTATTTTAAATTTTATCTTGTTTTGATCCTTCCTTGATTACATTTTCACAAATCCTTAGTAGTAGAATCATCGTAAGATTATAAGTTTAATTTACACGTAATTAGTACTTTATAATTAATTTTTATACGTTGTGCATTTTCTACACTTATAACTTTTCCAAAATAATTTTGAACTTTCAGGATAGCAGTAATTAGATTGCTATCTCAAAAGATTGCAGAAACGTTGGTAATTTTGGTGCCTAATTTTATATTTACCGTACTAGAAATAAATGACACCGAACATACATTTTCCTCTTTAAATCTGGTTCGTAATAATCTAGCATTTTATTTCCCCCATAGATAAAACGTTCATTCATCTTTTCTGGTGACAAAGTGGTATTACATCATAATTTACTTTATACAACCAATGATTTGAAAGAGGTTTTTGGATGAAAAAAAAACTGTAATTTTCTACATCATATACGTAGTTTTTTCTTTGTAGGTTATTACTGTCAGCATATCGTACAATTGGTTAAATAAGACTGTGAAGTAATCAATTGAAATTATAATGAAAAAGAAACATAATAGGTAAGAATTCATCTACTCAGCTCTGTTCTATTTATAATCACAGATACAATACATAAGATAAAGCTAAGACCAAAACTTTTCTGACACTTTTTTGGCACTAGCACCGTAATTTGCAATCATTTTAGATTGTCTACTAGTCGTCAGTACCAAAAAAACAGTCGACGTTTGCAACAGCTGTCGGACTGTAGTCAGAACAGAAATCCCTTTCAGAGATTTTATCATTTCAAAATACGCTGCCGCTTATAATATACACCAAACATGTATCACTTCACTGTCAAGACATACGCTAAGATTTTATCAATATAAAATTAATAATTTTATTGAGAATTTTTCAACTGAATAACTTCATTCGTTTCCTTTAAAAACAATTTAACTTTAATTTTATAAAATTAAGATGTTTTGAAAATATTTTTTTTTTTTGTATATCTGTGATTACAAAGTCTACACCACAAACGTCGTCCTAAAACTAAACTCATGGGCAAATTAAAGTTATAATTTGTAAACTCATAAAGTAAGCAAATATGTTTTAATCAATATCAATTAAAGGTTTAAAAGTTACACGAAAATTATACATAAAACACAATGAAATATTTTAACAAAATATTTACAATAAAGCAACAGCTATAATTTAACAACATATTATTTACACACTTACAAAATAATATTCTCTAGTGAGAAAACCTTTTCATTCCCGTTTCATCATATACTATAATACAAATTACTTTGTCATAACAGGTAACATCTGACTTTCACACTATAATACATAACGTTCACAACGCCAAAATATGTGTTTATTTCTATACAATATTGCACGCGGTATATTTCTATTGTACATTTTCATGTATATTAAAAAAAGACAATTATATTGTTTATTTAGACGCAGGAAGCTACCTTCGTATTTCGTAGTTCGTTAAAATTATACTCGATATAGATACAGAAATTTCAAAGTCAATCCTATGCGATCGTCCGAAAATAAAACATAAGACAAAAAGTCGTCAACGAAACGATTTTTACAACTCGAAATATCACTAGCACTACTAGACTACATTAAAAGACGTTTTATAAATACGTGTACTATATTACTCTCACAAACGTGAGATTTACAGCCGTAGAGGTACCACGTAGACCGTAACTCGGAACGACGTCGGTTACGGTGGAATCGAATATAATCGTCGATGATCGTCCACCGGGAACGGCGAGAAAATAATAAATGCAAACATCAGCGAGCGGCGGAGCGCCGGCTGCCGGGCCGGCGCCTACTGCGAGAGCAGCTTCTGCAGCAGCGACGCCCTAGCCGCCCCCGGGCCCGCCCCAGCCGCCCCGGCCGCCCCAGCCGCCCCGGCCGCCGCCGGCGCCGGCGTCTCATCACCGCCCGCCGCCGCCCCCGCCTCCGCCGAGCCCGCCTCCGTAGTACTCTGCGCACATAAACCTTCACTGAGCTGTGTGCCTTTACCGAAACATATGCACTAATGATTAGCATAGAAAATTATTAATTGACCACGATGTAAAAATTATGATTTTGGATCACCCTTTTGCAGTGATCGTGTCCCCTTGCTACGGGGACGTCGACACTTTTTTTGAAAGCGATATTTTAAATTACCAAAAAATATACCTTGAACTTTACTGGACAGCACCCAAAGCGAATGAAAGAATAATGTTTGGCTGTGGGTGTATTTTTCTAGTGTAATATGCATGTAACGAGACTAACTAATTTGGGGTAAGAATGTGTAGCTTTTTTATATTTCGATAAACCTATTTATTTTTTGATTCTTACTATGGATATAATTAAGTCAGTCTCGCCACATTTTGAATGTTAAATTGAGGGCGTCATTTCACGAAATCGCTAAATATAATTAAATCGCTAAACATATTTAGGTAACGTAATCAAAAATTGAAACAGGATTCAAGTCCTGCAGCAATTGAGAGCGCAGGCTTCTATCTATACTCAGTGCCGCTTCCTAAAGCGGATGGCTAATAGCCGACTGGCAGTTCTTATCAAGGCTCTATACATTTTGACATGCATGCATGAACAAATCAGCGCATTTTCAAGTAAATCGTACCTTAAGTATGTTTAACGTTAATTTTATTTAGCGACCTGTTGCGTAAACTGCGGAAATATTTGATTGTCCGACAAACTCGGAAGGTTTAAGTAATATCATGCAATCAATTGTTGAATATCTACAGAACTCAATGATGAAATAACTTCCCGCTAATACAACACTTCAAAAGCAGTAATAAGCATACTAACTATGGCGAAAACATAATACTGTTGTGTTGTATTGTATTAACACTACAACATCACAAAACCTTCACCAGTTTATCGTCAGCACATGCGAGTTTCCCAAAATTCGAGTAACGTTTCTTATAGTTAAAATCCTAAAAGCATAGTGATTGTATCATATACTTATTATTGATACCTCTAAAAAGGTTTGAAAATAGAGTACTTAGATAATAAAATAGACCACTAGTTCAAGAAATATTATTACACATCACATCACAAAAGCTTCATATAATTTTTGAAATGCACCAACTCAACTCCATACTTGTTATTTGAAAATTAGTTCAACTTGGACTTTGAACGTAGGCACATAAAATGGCAAAGATATAAATGATGAGTAAACTTTGGCGCACTTCTCTAAGTCAGCACTAAGTATCAAGATGATCGACTCGACAACACACGCAGCAGAGCAGACTCAATACGTAATAATTATAGGTTGTCTACAAAAATAATGAAAACCGATACAAAAGTAAGTGGAGTGACTAAATGGTTGGACCCGCTGGTCGATCCGAGCTTACCGGGGTGCTCTGTTGCGACTCCCACGTGTTTGCCGACGTCGCGGTGGCCCGCGCCCCCACCGAACTGCCGCCACCTACGTACGTACACACCAATACATTGCCAGTGAGTTTCTCCACTGCACTGACAATGCCCATACAACGCGTTCGGAAACTTTTAACATTATATTACTTTTTGGCAACTTTACATCCTATAGGATAGGTAGATGTGTCATCTTATGTGATGTTATGGCATGTATGGATCAGACAGGTTCTTTTTCCATACTGTATAAATATCCTGAAATTTAGCCTTATTAATTACGCTTATATTGTATATCATATCATTTTTCTTTGAATATAATATAAGGTAAAATATAAACGAACTTTTCTTTTCTATGAAAAAAGTTAACACCAAAAAGAAAAGTTAGTTTTTTCTTGGTTAGTTACAAATAATATAAAATGTAGTAAATAAATACACCAAAAATTATTCCTTATCGTCCGTACGTTATATTACACTCGTCCGTGGCTTGTAAAACGTTGCCTTGATATTGCTCGGTGTCCTATAACGGCGCGCGCGCACGGCTGACTTTTGTCACCGTGACAGTTTGTCTCCATAGATAAGTACTACGTTGTCTCTTTTTTTCTAGTAAAATAGAAAGGTATACGGTGTCACGATGACAAAAAGTCACCCGTGCGCGAATAGCCTTAATGCTGCAAATTCCATCGACAGTAGCGATATGGGAAGTCGACATTGGACCCATTGTTAGTCGATCACTAGCCGAGATTCTTTCTACGATCGATATGTACACCGATATCCATACTAACAGACAGTTCATCGAATACAAGAGTCAGATGTCCATTTGGTCATATGCGTAGATTTATGACACTTGGATATACATTTGGGTATTCATTTACTCAACTTCCGTCGGAATACTCCACAGGCGAGCTCGCAGGCAGCAGAGTCGTAGAGGAATGAGAGAGTAACTCACCAGAGGCGGGCATGTCGAAGGTCATGAGGGGGTCGAGGTCGGGCGACTGCATCTGCGGCTGCAGGTCGGGGCGGGCGGAGCGCGCGCCCACCACGGCGCGCAGCTCGTTGCGCACGTACTCCGACGTGCCGCCCGCCGCGCCCGCGTTCGCTCCCGCTCCCGCGCCCGCGCCCGCTCCCGCGCCGCTCACCACGCCGCCTCCGTTGCCGGCGCCTGTGTAAACCGTGCAATACACGCGATTAAAACACACATCGGCGATCCTTGGACGTCTCGGAGCAACTTGAAATTGGTACATGTGAATTTTAACCACTCGGGCAATAATTTGACAAATCATTGTGATAATATGACATTTATATAAACATGGGAAACCTAACCACTTGCCTGGACAGTTATACCAGTTACGTGTTTATACCATCGCGTGTTCCCGCTCGGGAAGAGCCTCGCCACCTCAGACTGATCCAAACGTATAGTGTTCGTGCTGCCGTTCGACCGATGCGCTTCCTCGAGGGTAGCACGGAAAGAAAGTAGTCAGAAGCGAAGTTCGTAAAGCCAGGGGTGCGAGATTAATTTGTCATGCAGAGCTGCGGTTACTAGAAGTTTACTGCTAACACCATTCGCCAATATTATTCAGTACTCACCTCCGAATATACGATTGCCAGAATTGAGATCGCTTGAAATACACATAATTAGTCACAATAACAAGATCGGTGAGTAATCAGATTATACGAAATATGTACAGGTGCAGTTAAGAGCCGAAGCCGTCGTTAATCGAGACAGTCAGATTAGCGAACGGATAAAAACAGCAACCCGCATCTAGGTACTCGTGATGTCGCAATAAACCTCGGGTGTCACGTGCCGGTGTGCTGAATAGTGTATGAGTGCAGTGTCCGATGAACTTTGACCTGTGTCCGGTGTCCTTGTGCCCTCGTTCCCTCGGTTAGCACAACATTTGTATATGTTTGTGACGGTGAAGTACGGTGAGCGAGATGGGAACGAGTCGTCGATGGGTACTCACATGGCATCTGCGAGTCGTGCGGCGGGTGGTGGGGCGGGTGGTGCGAGCGCCGCGCGTACTCGCCGCAGTAGCCGGCGCCGCCGTCCTCGTAGTAGCCGCCCACTGCCACACACGCCGCGTTATTACCACTACCTCGAAAGCGCGCCCAAAATGCACCTACCTATCGCCGCCTCACGCAGCCCTCGGTTGTGATCACGAATAAGAACTACAGTACGCGCGATAAGAGCCCGTGCATTTGTGTGCAAGCATTATCGAAGGCTGATGTAATAAAAATATCCATAACGGTTGTAATAATAAACGATACGATAAAAACAATTACTGAAGTATTAAAGTTACAATGCCAATCTATTTGTGAAAATTGTAAATTGATTAATAAACATTGAATCAAATTACAAGGCAATTTTATTCCACGCTTCGACTAAGGCAAGCAAGCCATCTACTTTATTATTAATGCTGCATTACAAGGTACAAGTCACTTCAAATGTATTGGCGCTTCGGCTCTTATCAAGCGAAATGTAAATATTAATTGAGCCGTTTCTCAATAGGATCACCATCCAATATGAAAAAGATCTCGGCACGGGCATATTTGTTCCGATCCAACTTAGTCATCGATTTCTACCCTGTATAGAGGAACTATCGAGTAGTGAAGCCATAGTAGACATGCAATTAGTTTTAAATCGGTACAAGGCTTCGGGAGGTTTGTCAACCCCGAATTTAAAAATTACTCTAAATCTAACGATCTACGATGCATGCGGAAGAGTATGTTTTTATTCGGAAGATCATGCGTTTATATAAAATAAATCTTTCGACGAAACTAGTCTAATCTATATCTACCTATAAAGAAATTTAGTAATATTTTCAATAAGAAGCATACCATACAAAAGAAACCATTGGATCAGACTGAAGATTTTTAATTATCTTTCATTATTTACCATCCCTTCCTCCTTTACCACGAGAGTGAAATAAATCATTAGAAAAATATTTTATTTGATGTAGGTAATTCATTAAAAAATCACACAATTTAGTTAAATGGGATTAGATATGGAAAAATAGGCTGTATGCAAGATTTTTAAGTTGTCCACATTAATGCCGTTTCAGCTATGAAACAGCTGAACGTTGTCAGATGACATGAGATGTCAGATCTTACGATTAGAAATCCGAGCATCATTTTATCTTCTTCGTATTAGTTGAATGGTTTAGTAACAATAAAAATGATGCATACACCCAATAGGGACGGGTTAGGTGGGGTGACTGGGCTAGACAGTATGGTTACCTAGCTGCGGGCGCGGCGCGCGGTGGTACTGCGGCGTCATGGGCGTGTGCACGCCGCCCGCCAGCGCCACGCCGTGCGCGTACCCGCCCGACCCTGAGCCCTGCACAACACACGAATATGGATTGAGCCAATAGCCTGAACTTCTATATTACTAAGCACTGGAAAACATCCACTTATATTCCTAAGACGCCAAGTAGGTTATAGACCGCCCTGGTACTGCGCAAGCAACGAATGCAACTTAGATAAATGCAGAATTATGTAATAACTTTAACACTCTTATAGTTTGCGTGCGTTTTGAAGCCACCATTAATTTGCACCATGGAAGTGGTAGCCAAAACGTGCGCACTACAACGTTTTGAAAACGCGCAAACCGTGAGAGCACCCGAAAAGATCAGCAAGATATCAATCAAAATAATCACATCCATTACTTGCAGTTTGTCACTGACGTAGAGCTTGGTTTCAATTTTACTAAAAATTAACCCTGACAATAACAACTAACTAAAGTTAGGTAAAGTGATAAATTCAAGTACTTACACTTAGTTGTCGACTCAGCATCGGGTTTTGTTGGGACGAGGTAATTTTGTTTGTACCATAATTTGAACCACCCATTTGATCTGAAAAGATATTTTTTTATCATTATATTAAAGTCTCGCTTTCAAAAAACAATTCAATTCCATTCAAAAAGCTACTCACTTGATGGGTGATATAAATGAGAATAATCCGTGCGCGTAAGCGCGACGTTAGGCGGTGTGGCGGTGACTAGGGCGCTAATTGTAGAGCCTAAGTCCTGTTGAGGTTGCTCGGCAGCCTGCAAGCAGACCATATTTTTAATTCAATATTGTTACTTAAAACTAGATTCAATTTCTATCGTAGGTAGATTCTTTTGAATGGTTTAATTGAATCGAGTTTCAAGGCTTGTTGTTTCGTAATACGGGCCTAGGAAACACGACTGAAGACTAGTAGTTTCGGTGTATATTTTTCTTCTTATTTATTTACTCGGCATTACATATTTACTACTAAAGTCGCTGACATAGCCCGACTGATTAGCAAGCTGAAGTGGCAATGGGCAGGGCACATAGTACGTAGAACTGACGGCCGATGGGGCAGCGGGCCTAGGAAACACGACTGAAGACTAGTAGTTTCGGTGTATATTTTTCTTCTTATTTATTTACTCGGCATTACATATTTACTACTAAAGTCGCTGACATAGCCCGACTGATTAGCAAGCTGAAGTGGCAATGGGCAGGGCACATAGTACGTAGAACTGACGGCCGATGGGGCAGCAAGGTTCTGGAATGGAGGCCGCGTACCGGAAAACGCAGCGTGGGACTTCCACCTACAAGGTGGACCGACGACATCGTAAAGGTAGCAGGGAAGCGCTGGACGCAGGCCGCTACCAATCGATCAACGTGGAAAGCATTGGGGGAGGCCTACGTTCAGCAGTGGACGTCCTATGGCTGAAATGATGATGATGAAGGGTTAACTCCATACCTCTGGCGACACGAGCATCTGCTGCTGCCGCTGCATCTGCAGCAACCGCGCGCGTTGCTGCTGCTGCTCGGCGGCGGCCCGCGCGCGCGCCACGTCGGCGCCGCCGAACATCGGCGCGCCGCCGGCCCCGCCGCCTCCCCCTCCCCCGCCCATGTTGCACGCTCCCTGTTACGATACACACTCGTGAAGGAAACATACTTTGAGAGTTTGAGAACAGGTAGGAAGCGTCCGGAAAACATGGGCCTTGACAAAAGTTAAACTATAGTCGGGTCTGTGAGCATGTAGAATTTTGTCCAATGGCCCCAAGCTACCCATCCTTATCGCTCGCGCGTAATTATTTTGCTGTCGCGCTCGCACACTCACTGATGCGGGTGCCAGTCGCAGTCGCGACAGCAATATAATTACGCGCGAGCGATAAGGATGGCTAGCTAGGGGTCAAATTCTACGTGCTCACGGACCGGGCTTTAGGAAGCGTCCGGAAAACATCATGGCCCTTAACACAAAAAGTTAAACGCGCATTGAAGTTTTTATTTATTTGTAAAAATCAAACTAGCTAAAGTTAAATAGCTAGTTTAACTTTTCTACGGAAATAATGACCCATGATTTGAAAATTATAAATAACTTGAAAAAATCGAACTGCCTGCGGGAATTGAACCCACGATTATAATTTTCAAATTAGTTTGAGATGCAACTCTAAACGCTAAAAATGAAATAACTATGACCCATGATGTTTTTTGCGATGTTTTCCACGTGAACATTGAGTACAAGTCCGGAACGGGTCAGGAAACTTAGTGATGTTAATGAACACTTTCCCCATGATCATTGCATGGAGAGGGTTATAAAAGGAAGGAACAGGCCACACAACAAAAACATAATATCGATGAATATACTAACGGAGCGTAAATAAAATATGTATGGCGAAATGAAAGCAATATGATATAGGGATTGGTTTTCAGCAGATATAGTCTAATATTAGCATGTTAGACCAACACAAATGAATCTAGTTATTATGTTTAAAAAGAGGACATGCATATTAATAGTAGACGGCTATTTAGTTGTGAGTATCGAAGATGCATACAGGAGACAAGGTATCGAAGATTTTAGGACCACATTAATCTGCCACCGACGATGTTATACTAAACAGCCGTGTACAATACATAAATGGTGATCTGATACCTATAATTATAGTGTGGTTGATCTTTCCTTAGGTGATATACCATGCCGAGATTTAGCCTGGTATTGTTACCATAAAAACGACTTTGCCATCAATGGCTTCGTCAGGCATAAAATCCGACGTAGACAAATTGTGATGTGGTGTGCAATGATTTGTATTTCTCATGCTCGTTAGTTCAAAACGATAAGAATATACAATGGCGTACAATCGCATAATCTTTACCGGGCTTTGTACAGGATACACAGGCGGGGTCCCGGGACTCGACACAGGGCTCTTGCTGGCGTTCTCGCACTGCATTAAACTTTGCCTTATGGCCATTATCATTGTCATTGCATTCTCCTTTACACCCTGTCGAAAAAATTACGAATAAGCTTGATGGACATAAAATATTATGTATAAATAATACACACTTATTAATCAATTACATGACATTAACAATATATTTCGCAGGCCATATTCTGGGTGAACTGTGTGGGCGAAAAATTTCGCGTGTACTGACCTCAGGCGCCGAGCGATCTGCATCAGGCATGTTGTCTATGACCTCATCCAGGAGGTCCGACAGAGTCTGATCGCTGGGCACTTCACTGTCGCCAGACCCGACTTGAGTACGTGAACTACTGCTTCTGCAAAGACAAATAAACGTTCAATTTTAGAACAGTCAAGCTATAGCGATCTTGTGTATGCTAAAATACAAGTAAAATAAGATTTCTAATGGATTAACTTCTGTTTCAGCCAAATAACGTCCACTGCTGAACAAAGGGCAGCACAGGAGTGGTTATTGTGGAAATGCTACATAAATATTGTCTTTTATTATACTGTGTCCCAGGGTCGATGAAGCAAATACTTGGTATTAAACGGCAGCATCCGCTCAAATACAACGACAATTGAAGTCGCTTTTTGCTGGGGTTTATATGTGAGCGATATGTGAAAATATTGTGGGTTGTCCTCAACATTCCAGCGATCGAGGGGATCAAACTCCCGACGCTCGATTTGGAACTCTGAAGCCGGCTCTTGTTGCCTCAAATGACAGTGAGATGTTAACTATAGTCTGGTCTGCGAGCACGTAGAAGTTTGTCGAATGACCCCAAGCTAGCCATCCTTATCGCTCGCGCGTAATTATGTTGCTGTCGCGCTCGCACACTCACTGCGGGCGCCCGTCGCACAGTCGCGCGCGACAGCAATATAATCACGCGCGAGCGATAAGGATGGGTAGTTTGGGGTCATTGGATAAAATTCTACGTGATCGCAGACCGGGCTTTACTTACTGCGGCGTATTATTGTAGCTATGGTGCGGCGCGGGCGTGGCGTAGTGGAGCGGCGCGGGCGCAGGCGGCGGCGCGTAGGTCGGCCGCATGCCGCCGCTTTGCAGCACCATTTGCAGGTGACTCTGTGTAGCATGGCTGTGCGTGTGCAGGCTCGCTGTCGAGCACTCCACCGATGACGCCGTGGACACCTGCCCTGTGCCTGGCCCTGGGCCACCGTTCACGCTGCTGGCTCGACTGCTGCGGGAATAAATACAGGTTATACTTGAACAGCCATAATATAGATAATTTTATTTGAATTTAAGAAAAAAATACTAACGCAAATAAAATTTTGATGTTTAAAAGTGCTGACTGCCACATAGTATGCTCTGGCCGCCAGAGCTGGATAATTATTATAAAGAAGCGTCTAGGAGCCAAGTGATCATTTCGTTATACTGTCATTGAATTCAATATTTGACCCAAAGAGTCTGCGCCGCAATACAGCTTCTATATTTTGGGGTCTATGTGCCGATACTCATTGGTAGGGCAAAAAAAGAATGAGACATGTATAGGCTCCTTAAGAGCATTTGACGATTTGCAAGAACTAATTTAATTAGTCTAAACAAATAAAGATAATTTTGATTTTGATTTTTAGCATCTCACTGAGAATGAAACTTATGGAGCAACTTAAGCGTCCCGGAAAACGCAGCGTGGGAAACTTATGGGCTGATCGAGATTATAGAAACTGTGTTAGCGGCATCGAACAGTAAGATTATACCTATACAAAAACCATAAATAAACTTACGCATTCGCCGTGAGTATAGTGGAGAGCGTGGAGAGATGTCGCTGCGGCGGCGCCTGGTGCTGCGGATGCGGCGGCGGGTGCGGCTGGTGCGGCGGCTGGTGCGGCGGCGGGTGCGGCGCGTGGTGCGGCGCGTGGTGCGGCGGGTGCGGCGCGTGGTGCGCCAGGTGCGGCGGCCGCGGCCGCACGCCGGCGCCGTACGCGCGCAGGTTCGGATTTGGCAGCGGCGGCGGCGTCGTCGGCGTCGTCTGCTGCCGCGCCAGCAGTGACACCAGGATCTGATTCTTCTGACATAAAGGGCTCATGCTAGAGGCTTGGCTGGACGCCGTCGATGATGGCGTAGAAGAGGCGGCAGAGACAGCGCTCGAGGTAACCTACCGATAGACAATTTTACTTTGCACCGATTTGGACACTAACGCGCGGGATTCACGGTAGCTCTACGAGTTATAGCCAATTTTCATCTAACCGACAACGTCAACTCAACCGAAGCCTAGGGTTTATAGTACCGCTAATCGTGCAGCCGACCAGGGTAAATGTTAACAGTCGCAGGTGGAAACATCAGTCGTAATTTTGACTCTGATGATTCTCTCACGAATCTGTTTAGGCTGATAGTGGTTAAAAAAATAGTTTAATTTTGAAGGAATGGATACTAAAATTTCTTTTTAATATTTTTTTAACAAATTCGAAAATTTATCGATCGATATTTCCATTTACCTCTGCCTCATTTAGTCTGGTGGACTACAATATTATAATCATGTCAAGTCATGCCTCAAAAAAGTTTATTAGACAATTAATTTAAATCAAGCTGGCGCGAATGGATTAATACACAAATAAGTACATACACTTGATTTTTTATAGTATTATTAAATGTAGAAGGAATATAAATATTAGGCACTTGGATTAAACAATTAAAGTATTTATTCACATTTGCTATGTAACCAGCACGGGGCGTGCGACATTTCTCGTCTGTTTCATAACAAAAATAGTACACACCCGCGCCAAGTAACAACACTTTTTGGATTAGATGAACTCTTATTTCAATCAACATTGTCGTACGCAGAAACAATAGAAAGTCAATTGTTTCTGTCGGCTAGCACCTCTACAATCGTTGAGGCGTTGTTGGGGCGTTAATTTCAAGGCGTCCTTGTAGATTCTGGGACAAAGCGTTGTTCTAATCTAAGGTTACATTGTTTTGATTGTTTAATTTCGGGGCAGTTAAATACAATTAATGTATACAAAGCCCAACGAAATCAATTACATTCCGTAAAGATTTTTGTACACAAATACAAACATTTCGTATTTATTAAACTCAACGTAAATAAAATTCGGCTCCGACAATGATAAAAAATCAGAGTTTGTAAATAGGGTATTTGTTTCACCTTAGTTTTAACAAATGACCAAATATTAACATAGCCCCATGATCTTAGTATTCATAAAGTGAAAATAAAAACGATATTCTAATTTGGACGGCCCACTACATTTTTATACACACACGCAACACGCTGCCTGTTGATAGTTGGTAAAACAATTAATTACGAACATTTCGCAAGACAGACACTCGTCGTAAAATTATATTTTTAGTTAAAGATTTATCGCCTTACCCAACCTAATTGACACAACTGCAGTTTACTTACTTATCTCGCGTGGAAAAAAACTTATTTATTAAAACGAAATTATCATTTTCTTACTGTTTATTCATTGATTTAAAATTTCTAGCTGCAGTTATGCAATCGTATTGCGCAAATTCATCAACAAAGGAATGTTTTGATTTTGTTAGGCTCAATAGACCGCTGCAAACAAACTAGCGCGAAATTAAAGCATTATTACTGTTGCATTTCGAAAACAATTCAAGTGTTTTTTTATATTATTTTATAGATGTTTCACTTATTTAGAAAGTATGTGGTAAATCAAGTTATATGAATCTTATAAACAGATTTTAAGTAATATCAAAGTGTAACAATCAGGTTCAGATACGCATGGAACCAGGCAAATATTTCAATTCGATCGTAACAGTAAACAATTGATAAATTATTGTAAATGTCTTCATTTATGGACCATGAACACGGTGCCAAGCTAATTCATGAGACAATTATATTGGATAAGTGCCTTGTAAGTGGTCTATAAACATGTTGATTTAGAGAGTATCTACCTATAGGAGAAAAGGAAAATAGGGTCGAACAGTCAGCGTCAAATAGTTCGTGACATCCAAAGTAGTCAAAAAGTTCACAACGTCTTTGTTTCGATTGAATGGTTGTGTTGTCAACTTTTTGGCCACTTTGGGTGTCACGGACTATTTGCCGCTGATTGCACATACGCCACGAGTAGAATATACGTGCCTACTTAAGTAAGAGGAAGTTACATCTCAAAGGCCAGGTGCCAATTGCTTTGTTAATCCATTCGCGCCAACTCGTTCAAAACTTAGATAGATAAATACTTGTTAGATAGTTACCTGCTGCTGCGTGTCGAGCGAGGCGCGCTTGGCGTTGCTGGCGTTGGCCTTGGCCTCCTCCAGCTTGCGCTTGACGCCGGCGATCTTCTCGAGGTAGTGGTCGGTGCCCTCGGGCGCGCGGCCGTTGCCCGAGGGCCCGTTGCTGCTCGACAGCAACTGCGACAGAAGGGCGCTCGGTTGTGACGTGCTACGACCCCCGTCCCCCGAATTCCTTCTTTCTTCAGCGTCCTCGTCAGACTTATCATTCAGTATCTAAAACACAGTGCATAAACACTTAAGGCCTGGCTGTTGAATGGAGAAGAAAGAAAGAAGGAAGACGTATTTCGCTATGCTATTTGAAGAGGTCTGACGACATGTACACGACCTCTATAATGAGGACACTAATGATGGAACAGATTTGATGGTAAATAACATAAAAATGTTTCATTTTGTCATCTCGCTGCAAGATTATGCTATGGGTGATCAATCTTAGCTGAATCAGAATTTCAGTGTATCATGTTCAATTAATATGTTAATACGAAGCAGATAAACGGTGTCATTTTCAATAACGATGTAAGGTTAAGCAGAGATTATCGTCTCATATTCAATTTCCATATAAATTATTTAAATTCACAATTACTCGACTTCTTGTTGCGCTAATAAATGACATTTGTTGATAAGTTGGACGTGACTCCGTTGCATACAAGGTATGTATGCGTGTAAGCCTAGTAATCTGTCTATTAACAACAATCAATCACGCACGTAACTTTCACAGATGGTCTAACAGCAACGAGTGGCAATTTGCATCTGCCCCTGCCATAAACTGAAATGTATCAGCCATTTTAATTCAATTAAGTCGGTATTGTTATTGTAGAGATTGTGTTTTAAGTAGGTCTTAATAAAAAGTATTTGATAAACTATCAAGTTAATAAATTTTATGTGCAGCATACTACGCTGTTGGTATGGTTAAGTATCGTCATTACGATATTACGCTTTAATTTGTTATTTTTAAAACCTAGGTGTGTTGTTTACATATTGTTATCAATAAATTCCTGCTCCAATGACTAGTGTGCCAATTAATTTCACAAGTAAGTTAAATTAGTGTTTATTTAAAACTCCACAAAATTCAATTAAATATGTTTTATTTAAGCTCGTCACCCAAGTTAATTGCTATTGTGGTCATTTAGGAATCATATTTTTCTAGATCTTTTTGCAACATTGAGTAGGATCCAATCGAATTTACTGTTACCAAGACCATTAATTTTGATTCTCATGTGATTTCTAACAGAGCAACGGCAGTTGTGTTTTTCGATGAGTCTCAATTATTGCAACCCACACATTTTTACAAGTGAGGAAACTAAATAAAAGACACGGAAGTATGAGTGAGTAATGATTATGAAAGTTTTATACTCAGATGACCGTTTTAAATAACACCTGAAGTAACAGTATATTCTAAATTCCAGGTATCTTCTAAATATTTTTATTTTGGTTATAATAATGTTTTTATTATTAGGCTACTATTTAACCAACTAATAGTAATAACCACACCCTACTACTACACAATTATTTGCGTATGAAAATTGAAGATGTTGAAAATTATTTAAATGAAAATTTAACATTGAGTGGTTGACACCAAAACATGATTGAAAAATTTTAAATGAAGACCAAAATCTACAGTAAAAAAATATTTGTAAGCTCTTAGTGAGTCTATTTAAACGTTTACTTAATTTTAGTCAGCAAAATTAAGTTGTGCCTTGGAATATTAATTACAGTGTCAAAAACTCAAAACTTTTGTAAATCAAAAGGAAAAATGATACCAACCCTCAATAGGACGTCCGAGTTGTGAGTCTGTTGAAGATTATGCGTCGCATGAGTCGGGCCGGCGTGCGAAGTATGCGGCTGATGCGACGTTTGTGGCGGGTGCGGCGGGTGCGGCGGGTGCGGCGGCGCGCGCGGCGCCTGGTGCAGCGGCGACAGCGCCGCGGCCGGCGTGAGCGGCGTCAGCGGCGTGTGCGGCGCCGACGTCTCGCTGCCCGTCGCCTCCTCGTCCTCCTGCTTCAGCAGGTCCTTCAGGATGCGGTTGTTCGAGTTCATGCCGTCGGCCGCCATCGGCTTCTTGCTGAGCAGCGAGCGCAGCCGGTTCGGCTCCTCGGCGGGCGGCTCGCCGGGCGTGGAGGGCGCGCGCGGCGTGAGCGGCGTCGACGGGCCCTCGGACGCGGTGTCCTTGCGGTCCTTGGAGTCGTCGCTGGACATGTCGGTGAGCTGGAACGTGGACGCCCACGGCTCGAGGTCGAAGTCGTTGATCGAGAAGGGCGGCTCGGCGGGGCTCATCGGGGAGCGGAAGCGCTCGCAGGCGGACGACTCGCCGTTGGCGACCGAGGACATGAGCGGGCCGCCGACGGTCGGCCGGGGGGTCTCGGATTCGAGGAGGTCGAGTTCTTCGTCGCCGAGCACGGTGTGCGTGGACATTATGAAGTCGGGGTCCCCGGAGGTGGGCTTGGCCCGAAACAGCCGCGAGCGCGCGCTGACCTTGATCCAGGCGCGGCCGGGCGCGATGCGCAGCCGGAAGGGGTCGCTGATGGCGGGCGGCGCGGGGTAGCACAGAGCTTCTCGCAGGTGAGAAATCACACGATTACGATCACTACTTTCGATCAGTTCCAAGTAGGGAGTACCCACGAGAGACACGGGAGAGTTTACACAGTTTTCCACGGCACTCAAATCACAGGCTGAAACAAAGAAACAGGTACTGTCAGTCAAGGTTCCTCTACTAATACACGAGCGGATCGATTCGGTAAGGAAGGGGGCCACTGGCACTCCTTACGTCATTTATCACAAAATTGTGTTTGTCGGACTTCGTTATCGGTGTAATTGCATGCATTGAAAAAATGTCCAACATAGTCAAAACAATTCATCTCGAGTTTTGTTGGTGAGAATCTGAGTATAAAAACAGAACTATCGAATAGTATCAAAACAAGTTTTGAATTAATCAAGAGTGCCCCAGTTTTGTGTGATGTTTGGGAAATGGGAATGTAAATGGGTTCGTTTGCTAGCGTTAGACAGCGACACGTTTTAGATATGAGGTAGTTATGGCGGGATAGATACTGACATAGCACAGTGAAGTTGCTGTCCAGCCTGAAGACGATGTTGTCGGAGGGCTTGGCGGCGATGGCGGGCGGGCCGCCGTCGACGGGGAGCAGTGCGGCCGACGCGTCCTCGCAGCGCCGGATGACGCACATGACGGAGCCGGCCTCCTCCGACGACGAGCCGCGCACGGGCGCAGCGTGGATCACGCACTCCACGTATCTGCACACAGCGGTACTCGTTAAGATAACACTTTTTAATACAAATCATTTATACTTGTACTAGCGCTTTCTAAGATACACTTATTATAACACTAATGCCCGATTCGACCAAACTTTTATCCGAGAATAACTCCTGGTATAACCACAGAATAATAATAAGTACTACCAGTGGGTTATCTATACATGATTTGGCATGAATTATCATGAATAATATTAACTACTTATTTACCTCTCAGTGTCTTGAGGCAACTTAAAAAAGTACATTCTGTGTTTTTATTATTATTTAGGCAGTTAAATACTGCACAGTATTTAGTACACCATTTTCTTTATTTTCTTCCATCATACACAAGAATACGCGTGCGTGAGTCAATGTTCGCTCGTATGTGAGGCCTTGTCGAATAGTATCCTGTAGGTGGGCCATCGTGCGTGTTTTGTTTTCGATGTATACTCTCGCGGAGATGAACAGGCCTGGTATAACTGGCTCATTGACAGTTTCAGTGTGGGAAATATGTCAAAACTGACGATTTATTCTGAGATTAATATTTACTCTTGTTTGGTCGAATCCACCCTAAATGTTGGAGCTAATTTGTGTTATATGTATTTAACTTGAGACAAAATTATCCTGGAGTACCTATAACAGCAACAGTCTTAGAACACGAGTAGGGCGGTCTTAAGCCGGAAAAATCTTCATTTTTTCTTTGCTAACCCTCACTAATTAAACTCTTAACATAACTTGTTAGCTCTAATTAATAAGACAATAGCGACAGTTATTTTTCATCCAATAAAAAAGTAAGTCGAACTACAAATTATCTGTAGGCATCATGTCTCCACTATTACCTATTTCTTGATATTTCGCTTGACATTAGTAACAGCACAAGTGGCAAGTTAAAATGCAAGTCATGCATTTATCATACAAGTATTTCAAAGTAGGTAAGTACGTGAATGGGACTCAAAGTAAGCTTTATCATAACATATCAGCATTTTAGTAATCTTCACTTTTATTGATTACTAAATAAATATACAGGTGCGTGCGAATCATGTAGGTACGTAGACAATTAGGCAATGCTTACCAAGCAGTGTTTTATTAAATTACATTAGTAGATTGACATTTGTATTTGTGTATTTAATTCTAAATACCTAAATCTAATGTTAATTTGGTGTCACCAAAATCCCATTTTTTTTAATTAGCAAAAAATATGGACATAGAAATACGGGCGGGATAACTCCACAGATATTACGAGTTGGAAAATAATAACAAGAGATACCCACTACCCTCATGAAATCTTCGATTTCCTCTATCGTATGTGGGCATTGTACTTTATCTGTGTTACATTGTCATTATTATCTATGATTATGAAAATTGTTCTATGAATAATAGAGTGAAGACACCTGTGCAAAAACCTTTTCAATTTCTTCACTATCTGATTATCACTGTTGTCAGTAATAAATAAGTTATGTGTAAGTGTATGCTTTGTGATCCTTGCATCTTTTGAAATATGTAGAATTATGTAGTAATAGACAATGTGAAGTATGTGTAACATAGGTGTGAAGGCATCGACTCGGTAAATGGCCTCTTATCGTTCGGCCGTCACGATTGGCTATCACAATGAATATCAAAGGTGTTTATATGCGTATATTTTGATAATAGCATTATGATGATGAGCAACTTAAAATGTGTTGTCATATGTTTTTAGTTAGCTTAGGTCAGAATTCATTAATAAAACGGTTAAAGTGAATCAGTCGTTTACGAGCAAACGGTTGCAAAGTGTTTACGGTAATATCGACTGTTTAGATTTCACCTTCTCTTGATGAACACTGGCCTTAACGATTCTGTTTTTGGTTTGTTTATACCTGTCACTTGCACAACAGTTATAATAAGTCTGTTGTCTTCTTGAATTTATCAAAATGGAATAGAATTCTGCTGCGATTACAAGAGTTATTTTTGGTGAATTGAATTCAGATAAATATGACTCTATGATACTTCAAACAAATATGAATAGACTTGTTTGACCACTGTCGGAAACTCGTTATGAATATATCAATATGCCCAAATGATTGCCTTCTGATTCATATCTTAAGTTTTAACAAATAAACTAGGCACATATTATACAGCTGATAATGATTTATTAAATGTTGGCTTGCATTCTTCCACGACTGATAAATAACTCATCATGACAAGTATAACGTGACATATGTTGGAATCATATGGTACAAGTATGTGGGTTGTTTTTTGTCATAAAATAAGTGTATGGTAATTAAAATGTCGTTACGTGCGTACTTACCCAGCTCCGTCAGTCCCATTAGAGTTCTTAACAAGCAGCCGTGCCTGAATGGCTTGGAATCTGTCGACCTCGGCCGCGCTCCAGGAGAACGTCTGGACGTTGCTCAAGAGCGGTCTTAACTTTGCATGGTCGTTGACATGCAAACAGGAGAAAATTGATTTCCTATACAATTCAGTTCTGTCTTGCAGAGTAAATTCTTTGATATTTTCCGTTATACATTCGATTTCCCCTTTACAGTTGATTTCTAATAAGACCCAACCGAGACTATTCGTGTAGTGTTTGAGGGCCTGGAAATAAAAGGAATCAAAGATTAGCACCAGTCTGCCTTGTTAGGTAATGAACATAATTTGTTAATACATTTTTCCATGTAGAGGCTATTATTTCAATTTATCCAGTTATCCAAACAGCCAATACATGATTAACAAAATTAAAACGCAAATTGAGTATGTATTTCAAAACGGAATGCTTGTCCTGAGCGTATAAACAGAAACCAATTGCGTCCCTACAAAGCGATGACGTAACATTTGATGGCGTACCTCGATGAGCGTGGTGAGCTCGGAGTAGTGGTGTCCTTCGCCGAGCGGCTGCGGCTGCGTGGAGCTGACCTCGCCGGCCTGCACGGGCGAGAGGCACTGGGCCGCGCGCAGCGGGCACTCCCCGGGGCACTCGCGCCGCCTCTTCAGAACCTCCTGGATCTGGCGCGTCGCCTCCCGGACGATGCCGTTCTTGTCCGGCTGCTTCACCTCAGCGAGACAGGTTCCCAGAAGCTCCTCAAGCTGGTTTATAGTCTCGTTCTCGAGCTCCCGCCTTTTTTTCTCGTTGTGGCACTTGTTTCTGAAATTTCAAACGACGACTCGTTATTACGGTGTACGCAAAGGGAATTCAATTACAGACAAAAAAGTTGGAGCTATATTTTTAACATGATTGTGTCACGATAATCTGTTGGTAGAACATACAAGGTCGCAGGTGGCTTCGGGAACTTCCGGCCCTATACTAACGCAAATACGTTTTAGGAAACTTTAAATTCAATACGAAAGAGGTTGAAGGTACATTTTTATTTGTTTGCGGAATATAATTTCGACACTGAATAAGGCAAAATTACTGTTAGTAAAAAACATTTTCATTGTAGTTCTGTTGTTTTTTAACAAATATGTATACAATACATGTATATCATACTGTTTTCATATTTACGTATAAGTATTTCAATTTAGTTTAGTTAATGTGGTTAAAATACAATTATTGATACCGTATGTGGGTAATTGAATTAGCTTTCTCTATGCGACAGAATTAGGCGACATGGTTTGAAGGATTAGAGAACTAGTGAAATCATTAGCAGTTAAACATAGTTTTCAGATAATCGTAGAGAAACGCGATACCAAAAACTAGTACCTCAGTTTTTCCATTTGTTTTATTCGTATCAATCAACACTTATCATCAATATTTCTAAAACTATGCTAAGGTGAATAAATTAGATAATATCCGTCTATTTTCGCTAAAATGCAAATAATAATAAAATACTCTAAGTACCTATTTTCTACAAATAAGTGATAAAATATGTATAAAATTCCGTAAGGATTCCTAAGCGCTCTATACGTACATTTGAGATTGTGGCTTATTGTCTGACTTTTTTCTTATCTTCTTAACCGGCGCTGTCACGCTCATCTTGCCTTGCATCCCCCTCCATGTGTCTCCCAGTTGGAGGTCACAGGATTCAATTCTACAGAAGCAGCAAACAAACTATTATTAACCAAATCAAATTCTAGGTTTCAAAGATAAGCTTTTCAAGTCTAATAATTTCATTTAAATAAGATCAAAGTCATGAGATGAATGGATGAGTGACGTATGAGTAATTGAGTAATGGTGAGATTTAGAATAATAAGAAAAAATATATTTTATTGTAAAAATTGTAAGTAAATAAGAATTTCCATGCATAACTAATTTGAAACAAAGCAGTGTCGATGGTGGTTTTTATTTTAAATTTTTCGATGAAAATATTAAATTGTAATTTGTAAAAAGATAAAAATAAACTTATTAATCGTAATAAATCTCAGTTCATTATTCCGGCGATTCCTCAATCAAAATACTTATTCATTATTGTGCAAACGATAATGACTCATGCTTGCGAATAGCCAGTTTGATCTCCTATAGCCTCCGAAGTCCAAGTAGCATTATTAACTTGCGTACTTTATCAAAAGTGTGTACCTACTAACACTATGATAAAGGAATGACTATCAAGGAATACCTACCTAGTTATATTCGCATTGACGCGATTCATACATATCAAATGCCAAGTACAGAGCAAGCTGAGTGAAGCTTAATGCGAAAGAGGGACAGAGATACCAGTCGAACGCCTACCGAGGAGCCCCACTACGCAACCTCACTGCGACGGCCGCGCAACCTTGAAATAATAATGTTCGGAATAACAACAACGCGCCATAAGCGTGACCAGAAATAGTATAATAAATAATTCTCGAAATTTTTTAAACCTCCAGTTCCTAGTGCCTACATCCTGTCTGCATTTGGGATGTTCTTTTGTTCTAATGAACCGCCGATTTCGTTTGCAGACGCAACAAAAACTATATAAAACAAAAATGCCGATAGCCGGAAATGATGTCGACTTTGTTGAACATGTTTTAAATACAAGTATTTTCTGCGAAATTTTGCTTGTGACATAATGTTGATTTTTATTTAGCAGACACTTGTATCCAAATAGGTGAAAGTTGGTAAGTATTGTTCGTAAGCGTTCCGCAGTCGAAGGTTTCGCTTTTTCAAAGGTTACTCAACAGGTAGGCATTCGTCATCCAAGTTTCAACTGCGCGTCATGGAATTCTAATAGGCATGATAACAAGTTTGATTTGGTTAGTATTTTAATTAATAAGTACAAATTACTGTTATGCAAAGCGATCAATGAAGTATGTAATTTAAATTTGCCTAAATCACGAAATAATTACAAAAATTACCCACCTTTTTGTATCAGCTAAACACTAAATACTAGCGGATTTCCCACGTTGAGGATGTTATAATAAGTAGTCAAGTGGATAAGCCACTCAGCAATATTGATAATAGACTAAAAGTATCATTAATTTATTGCCTATCAGATTTCAATAAAGCATAATATTAGAGTTTCTGTAACTGATTTCCTTTGTGGTGCATCCCAACTAATATTATAAATGCGAAAGTAACTCTGTCTGTCTGTCTGTCTGTCTGTCTGTCTGTCTGTCTGTCTGTCTGTCTGTCTGTCTGTCTGTTACGCTTTCCCGCTTAAACCTCGCAACCGATTTTGATGAAATTTGGCATAGAGATAGTTTGAGTCCCGAGAAAGAACATAGGATAGTTTTTATCCCGGTTTTTGAAACAGGGACGCGCGCGATAAAGTTTTTCTGTGACAGACAAAATTCCACGCGGGCGAAGCCGCGGGCGGAAAGCTAGTAGTAAATAATATGGATATTGCATCTGGCTCTACCTGTTTGTTATATTTCACTCCCTTACCTACTTCATTGTAAAACGTAAGTGTGTCTATGAAAATTTGTAACACATAATTATGTGAATTATGATGTCAAAAGATATTTTCCAAGAGAAAAAACTAATATAAATAGTGGTTGATAAATTTATATTTAGAGATGTGTAGACGTAGTCTCTAGCATCAGCAAATCAGGTTTCAAAAATTCTTTCACCAAAAAAATGTAGAGTCAGGTAGACCTGACTCTACATTTTTTTGGTGCTACATTTGTTTGGTCCAAGTTAGAACTTGGATGCTTTGCTTCTTTTTTACATCCTCAGGTATTGCGGCATGCCATACGCCGGATATCTCCAAATTTTTAAGCTAGCTTTTGTATTGATATTATTAGAGGCGTGTAGTTGCATCACTAGATCACGTTCCTTATACCTTTCCAGCAAAATAAGGAAAATGTGGAGTCAGGTCTTACGTACAACACGATTGCTTCTAATTTATAAAAGCTCAGATATAGCGGCTTTACATTCATCTGATATCGAATGAATTTACCTTAAGATTCCATTATTTAATTATGATTTGACTCTGTCTCTATAAATATGAAAATTAAAAATAAATAAAGAATAACGCCTTGCTTTATCTTATGTCACCACGATTAGCAATACATAAATTAGAAATCCATTTGACGCATATTCACATGTATTCATCTCAGGCGCATTATATTCAGTTCGTTTCAGAAAAGTAGTTAGATACTCCAAAACTGAATGACGCTTTTTTTTTCAAATAACCAAACTGGGTAGAAATAACTTCAATGAAGGTATATTGAATGCAAAAAGACAGTATATTAATTAAAAGTAATAAAAATAAAAACGAAAGTTAAACGTGCTATAATCACAAAATTATTTACCACTAACGCCCTAATGAAAATTCGCCTATATGCGAAAAGTTTTATGGTGAAAGTTTCAAGCATGACAATCAGTTGTTAAATATCTCTACAAATAAGGCAAGGACGTTTCCATATGGCTATCTCATTACTTAAAATAAATAGTAACATCGGTTTTTAATGCTCCGTTCGAAATTAGAAAGGTTCTCAGTGGATATTGTAATAAAACAATAGTTTGCAAGTATTCAAGTGTCAGTTTCATAATTCTATATGTATTTTTTTGAATAATAGTTCCATATTTCTGTATCTGATCTGTAATCCCAAGGAGCTGGCATAGTAAATCAAAATGTTTCGACGTTTTTCACCGCAGCATTAAAAATAGTGCATTAAAACGTTAAAAAAATTTATTATCTCTTATATTATATCCTTATCTGAGAAAAAATCGCAGCAGTTATAGAACTGTTAAAAGTATCAATACCATTTTGGATGGTTAATTTTCAGTTTCTTTTTTGTAGAGTCAGCGTTTTCTTTGTGGAGTCCTTGACTATAAAATCCTGTGGGTCTAGACAAAGTGCAAATTATAATCGCAAACCAGTCGAAAAGTGGTCGAAAAGCCCCTTTTTTGTATGGAGTTTTGACGGATTCGATTTTCGATTCGATCAAAAAGTGCGTTTTGTCTAGGGGGGCAGTATCTGTTATCTTGCACCCAACCAAATGGAAAAATAGAGTTGGCCAACCAAATGGAAAAATAGAGTTGGCCAATTAGTGTATCCGAACTGATAATAATCGAAATGGAAACATTCGAATAACTATCCCTTGATTACTACAAATATTAATTGAGACATTCTCAAGTTTTAAAGATGATTGGAAGTAAATTTTCAATACATTGTTGACTAAAATACAAAATATTACTTTGCGACCAATGTCGGTACATAATCTAGATCAATACAAAATATATGCGTTTAATATACAATACTTGATCTTGTTTCACGAACTTTATTTGTGTTATTTTATTGTTTATGAATAATTGTTTCAATAAAAATATATCTTCTGCGTGTTTATTGCCAAAAATGTTTGTTGCGAGCGAGAGTAAACAACCAAAAACGAGCGCAGTCGATCATTCCTCCTACCCTGGGATGAAGCATGGATCGATTAAGCTGCTATTTTTAGCTCAAATACAAAAAACTATTTATGTAGTGAGTACCAACACAATTTCACTTTTGCCACTAATGGCAATAATGTATTGGCTTGACATAATTTATTATGCGTAACGAGAGAACGGATTTTTGGCAATCTCCCTGTCGCGTGTAGTAGTGTCTCTATATTACAAAACGCTGATTGATGATTCATTCTTTAGTATAAGTGTTGGTATTATAAAAAAACAGACATTTAGACTAGACGTCGGAAAAACTAAGTGAATTGTTGTTTTTCATACATGATCGTTTAAATAAACGGTCGAACCTAATAAAATAATGGTACCAAAACTCTTAACTTATTTGTTGTCTCGTTCACATCTTACTTTATGCCTCTACTGGAAGGTAAAATCATGTTAATTGTTTAACTTAGAGAGTTATTAATTTGACTTTTGACATTAATAAAACCACTTGTACAAAAGAATTTGTTTACAAGGTCATAATTCATGACACTTTCAATGAACCCTTGCAGCAGGATAGACTGATGAGGATTCATGTCGGACAATAGCTTTAGTTACACTTTTCAGTAGCCTGTACTCAGTTTTTCCCGGGCATTAGCCAATAGACGTATAAAAGTGTAAAATTTGGTTTTGACTTGACTGAAATTCTTTATTTAAATTGACAGGTCTCTCAAAAACCATTTGTAGAGTGATAAAACTTAGATATTTGTTATGATTTGACCATATTGACCACTTAAACGTATCTGTATAGATTTACAACTCAGGAAGTTGATAATATGCGTGATAACGATATTTAACGTAACAGATAGCTTCGCGAATAAAAAAGATCCAGGGTAGCAAATAAAATATTGGTTCATAATATCATGGCAAAATAATTTTGATACTTTTGTCAATAATAGAGTTAGCAATTCCCGGGGATTATGAACAGTTAAACATGCATGTAAAGTTGTGAAAAAATATTCCGAACACTTCGTTGTGTCGAATGTCGTTGAACTCTTTTACTCGAAAGACTGCAATGAATATTTTTGATAACTTTTGACTTGTGACTTCTTTTGAAACGGGTTTTACTAGGTATTAATAGCAGAACGTCAAAACTCGCATAATCCTCATCTTGCATAATGTAATGTGTGCTCTACAATAGGTACTCATCATGAAAATGCATTAATTTGTTCTGATAAATGTACTACTTATAAATAACTAGCTGTCCCGGCGAACTTTGTTCCGCCTTAATGGCAATAAATAAGCAGACTTTTTTTTTAATTTCGAACGGGATAAAAAGTATCCTATGTCCTTCTCCTGGCTCTAAACTACCTCCATGACAATTTTCAGCTAAATCGGTTCAGCCGTTCTTGAGTTATAAGCGAAGTAACTAACACGACTTTCTTTTATATATATAGAAATTGATACGTTCACGTGCAATACGTGAAAAACTCACGTGTACAACAAAATCAAACGAAAATATGAAGAATATTTTTTTCAGCTCGTTATGTGTTAATTGTCTTGAAGACAATTTACTACTTGGTTGTCATCATATTTTTCGTCTAACTAAATATTACTCGCTAATAGCTATCTAGTAATAAATAGATTATTAAATGTTTACTGGTATGAAATATTTTTATTTTTAAATTATACTCACTGACAAACTTCATACGTACCTACTACTTGCAAGAACAATGAACGTAAAAATTTACATTTTCTCCTGTTTACGTTTTAAGCGACTATCTAACATACAAATTATGACTTTGATGTCAACAGAATGTTTACCTAAATATCATTTGCAAAATTGCAATTTAATAATAAGTCATTATAGTTCTACAAGTGTTACTTGAAATATATTGGTAGGATTAGTATGTTTGTTATAGTCAGTTCTTATCATTGTAATTATAAATTTTATCTACATTGAGTGACCCGCAATCATTCTGGGTCTTAATGTTTCGTGTCATTGGTGGTGTTATGTTCGTGCGGAGGAAAATAAGATTATACTTTGTTATAAGTGTTGCATTAATTTAATTTCGAATAACAAGTGTCAGTGGTAGTCGACTTTTGACTCGATTGGTACCTAGTTTGAATATATTTTTGCCAACGAAACCAATAAATATGATAAATATACTGCTGTATCAGTTGTTGTTGAACTTGTGAATAACCTACCTACCTGTAACCCTACAGCAATAACGCTGAATTCTGCTTAGTTACGAAAACTGATTCATTAATTAAATTTTATTATTCAACTACTCTAAAAATGTTTTTATACTTTATTATTGTGAGTGAAATTATGTGATACCACAAACAAAGAGTGACATTTGCAAAGTGAAAAAAAGAACATCAAATATTTTAATAAGAAGGGGTAAACAGGCTTCTGGGTCAACTGTTGATAAGCAATCACCACCGCCATCTGCGACATCAGACGAGTTTCCGATGTGTTAAAAAACAAAATAGTAAAAAAACATGTTAAAGAAAATAAAAATAAGATAGGGGATTTAAAAAATAATAATGAGTGTGTGTAATAAAAACCGAAATCCAATAACGAGTCCGTTATAAATCTTTTCGTTGCATAATATTTTACAAGAATTAACTCTGACTATGACCATTACTCGCCGCAATAAGGAGTGTATCAGTAAACATTAAAATTTATTACGTATTTGGCATACTTCATAACAAGCGTAACATCAAAAATCTGGCAATCATCTTAATATTTTCATCACGGTGTGGAATTGTTAATGCTCTGTGTGAGGCGAGAGTCGACATTAAACGCGTCATAATTACCTTGAAAAGGCGTGAACACCAATATCGACATCAAAGAAGATGTCTACAAATTCGTCTACTTCGGAATCTGGAGTGAGCGACGGAGGCAACGTGTCGGTCGGAGTGGCGGCCCCGTCGACGGAGTGACCTCCACAGTTGAGGATCACCGGTTCCGGCTGTACCATGGGCAGCATGACTACAGCACATTCCAGGGTTGCTCACCGCCACTATTTTTGAGACCAAAGTCTCCCTTATTCAAATCCGAATCACACTGGTTGTATTCCCAACAAAACACACACTGCATTGCGCCACACTCACCGCGACGCTATTTTTTACTGTACAGGTTTCTGGATTCAACACAAAGACCAAGAGATATAAAACGTTCCGAATAACTTATTGCAAATCTTATTACGTCTCATGAAGGTGATGTCTGCCGACAAAAACATGCGTTAACTTTATTACGTAGCGATCGTGCAATTTCCTATCGATATCCGTGCGAAACGTTCGCTGCAAAACGACGATGAAAGTCAACTGAAAGACGAGACGTACATATACATACGTCCTTTTCGTTCACTGCTACACAAATTTTATCAACACAGCGGCGCGGCGCGAGTCGCGAGTCGCGACACAACGCAGATCGTCCGCGGACTCGGCGGCGACGGCGGCGACACCGGGGGCTGTGGGCGAGCAGCCGGACTGAGCGCTCGATATCGCCGCCCCGGTCACACCTACACTCTCCTCCTATGCCGAGCTCTCCGATCTCGCTCGCCGCAGCGACACTCGTAGAAAACATAGTCGAATAAAGCCGACCACTGACGAATTGATACGAGCTATAAACACCGATACACAAAATTTGTTTGCTATTTCATTATCCATCTATTCGTTGCGAAACAAGAGCGAAATGTAGTAAACAATCACGGATCAATGGGATTTAATTTCAATCAGAGTCTATTGTTGATGTTGTATTATTGATTACCAGAATAATACCGAATTATGTAATTGCGAACACTTACACAAAAGACTCTACATGGCGATTATTAATTTTCTACAAAAACAAAGAATACATTCAGCTACTATTTTATTTAATAAGCGTTTTTACAGTCAATAATCCATTGAATTTCACAGGGATATGATATTACTAAATGTTTTTTTATTATTAATTTTGAAGGTAGGATTATGGAAATTAACACAAAATATTGGATAATTATATTTTTTGACACATTATTCCATTATGGTTGTTAAAAGACGTTCTTTTCCCAGGATTAATAAGACTTCTCAAAATGTTAATAATTGCCATGTTGGTAGAGCAACCAAAAGGTAGAGTCATTGAAAAACTGCCATCGTTATTTCAGTAGATACTGTATTTTCAATGATCGTACATGATGATCAGTCGTGAACTTTATCGCATATTTCCGTTACACAAGTATGGCATTCTCTAACAGAACATACATCGTGCGACAGGGACGGCGGAACAGCGAGCTGCATGACGTAGCTGCCCATACCTACATGAAAGTGAAATGGAACAGTATTCGTGTCAAGTGCACAATTTAAATAACGAGGTCATACATTGCATAATACCATATCACGATAAATAGATAGATAAATTAAACGCTACAAATAGAAATAACAATAAAGCAAAATAAATTGGTTAATTTTACAATTTACAATTCCGCAGCTAAGGTAATGATTACAAGAACAAAAAAAAATATACAAGAATATGAAATAAACTCTACATCGGCCAATAACGCTAGCATAATGGCTAAATTAATTAGGATACACGCACTCAAATGTGTTACGAAACAAAACCGAATTAATATGCATACTGACATATAAGTTAGAAAAATAAAATGATTAACTCTGTTATAAAAAGTAAAAACTGTAAGGGAGCTGTAGAGGAAGAGCTCGGCGCGTGCAGATATCGGTGCAGGCGGCCCCGCGGATCTATGTCAGTGGGTCACGGCAATGACGTGGCACATGGCCGCGGCGAGTCGCGCCGCGCACTTCATTCTAATTCCGCTTCACCGGTGTGTCTTCATTTACTAACTATTTATCTGAGCCCTAACGTGTTAACCGCCCTGACCATTCACATTCACATCTAGCGCGTACAAAAAACTATCTGTCCAGTTTAACTTTATCGAAGAGGCCCGCTCCTACCTCGCTTATCGTTGACATTGACCGACTGAAATTATTCACGTGAGAATGAGCAATACGAGCGCAGTTTCAATTCCACGAGACGATTAATTCAAAATTAAGGAATGTCACGCTTGTATTTTCCTTACTAAGAACGATGATGAATGTATTGATGATATAATATAACAGCAAGAGCGACCAATATTGGGAAACCATAAAATAATAGCGTCACAGTAATGTAAAAACGTAAGGGACACACATTTTCCTGCAAATAAACGCATGTCAGCTGCTGGTAAACTCTTATTGAAATGACAACACTATGGTTCTAAAATGAGAGAGAGATTATGCATATCAAGCGAATCACGAGCAGTCATTAACACACCATAGAGATGGTACAATGAGATAAAATAAGTTTAACAAAAAAAATCCATAAAATGAATGGACTATGTTCATTTGTTGATTGACCATCTGCATCCTAAAATGTATAAAAGAACGTAGGTAATGCACGTGCATGACGACGATGCAGTTTCAGGCCAAGGAACTACTGGTGAATTATTGCACGTTACTTTAGTTTCGAAACAACAGAGGAACATATTGTTTTGTGCAAATTTTAGATATTCAGGCACTAACATTTTAAGTAATACTGTTAAATTCGAATTTATAATACTTACTAAACGCGCCCCGCGAATTTGTTTGCATCAAAGCCAATGTTAATTTTATGAAAATCAATTTTTGCGTTAAATATACCACCATTAAGGATCCATTTTATGACTACAAAGAAAAAGATGTCAACATCTTGACTTCTCACTAGAAAGAAAATAAATTAAAAGAGCTAAGACTGGGAGAGGCAGATACGCACATATTTTTTTTTTTTCAAAAAATAAGAATTCATAGGGTAAGTCGAATCGAATATTCAGATACCAATTCGATTTTATCTACGTATGTTTCAAATTTGTTCACAATCTTAATCGCCAAGCTAAATAACTTATTAAAGTTGGTCGAGCCTGTCTCTACCTTTGTTCGCGGTTTGTAACGTATGTTTTACTTTTCAAATTCAATGCCAATCAATTTTATAATATTTTATTTGGCTCTAGCTTCACCCGTCTGCACCACGTAATCAAAACTTACAAGCTTAATTTGACTCACTTCCCAGAATTAGATTGAGTTGATATTTTGCATGCTTATGCATGTTCGATGACAATGCAATATCAAGGTGGTATAATACAGTGAAGGCGGAAGGTGGTTATCTTAATAAAACTTGTTGTAAAAAACCTTTTTAAACTTTCACTGATCACGTGAATCGTATTGCGAAATTCGTATATTTATTGAGCCGCCAACAGGTATTTGTATCTGCACGAGCAAGCTAATGGTTCGTTTTCCCTCTACGAATGCGATAAAGCCATTCACACGAATTTGAAAATCTGAACGTAGAAGTTCGTATTCATCATAAGTTAATGCGTAAGCTAATGAAATTCCAAAATTGACTTGGTGACATTATAAGCCGCCATAATATGCGTCACACTGAAATAATATTAATATGCATACGCAACGACTCCGACCGAAGGCAGTAATATCACTTTAAAAAAAAACTAACTAGAGTCGAATGGCGCCCAACTTGGTGCCAACATCTTTTTATTGATTATTTAATTTTAGATTCAAATTTAAGTTTAATTACTTGTTTGTAAATAATTACATAGTGCCATAAACTATTTTTCTTTGTATAATGAACAGATATTTCCATAGATGAAAACAGAAAACTAAAGAAGACAGAAATTAAAATAAGGGTGAAATTTAAAGCCCAACCAAGATTCCCCAGATTAGTCATATACGAATAAACTGGTGGAAAGAAAAAAATAATCGTCAGTTTGTTTAAAAAAAAAATTAAGAAATTTACCTATCACATCATCAAATGTGTTTTAATGAAGAAGTTTCGTGATGTTGAAAACATTAGATTTCACTGAATGGGATTAAAATATAGACCAAAAATAAAAAGCCGGTGAAGTTATTGTTGAAATCTATCAAGAAATGGCTGAGAAATTAATTATTTAAATTACCTCCATATTTTCGCGTGGAACTTAAACATAGGCGGTGCCGTGACGTCAGGCCACCTGTGGGTCTCGTCAAAAAGCACTTTAAAATCGCAAACCCATCGCAAACCAGTCGCAAACAAATAAACAAATCGCAAAAGAGGTCGATAACAAAAAAGGCTTAGCCAAACGGCAAAAAATCGAATCGCAAAGCCCTACCTATCGATAATCGAAAGACTGGATTGAAATTTCCCATACAAAGGCTTAGCCAACATGCATTTAAGACTCAATCAAAATCGAATCGAATCGCAACACCCGCCATTTTCATTGCGATTACTTAAACCCCGTGGGTCTAGTCAAAATGCCATTGCTAACCAATAGGAAGCTTTCGATAATGACAGTCGCCGTGTCACCAGTAATTCGATTCGATCGTAAAATGGCAGCCAAAATGCACATTGAACCACCATCGACGCGGCGATACAAAAGTTCATTCAAAATCTAATAAAAGTTAAAACATGTCTATAGACTTTGCGATTGTTTTTACTTTTTTTAGATTTTTTTTAAATTAGTTTCTTCCTTCTCTCTGTTTACGTCTATGCTTCACTGTCAAACTAGCTGTCAAAACGACATCGCGAAACGGATTTGTCAAAACAGCCTTAGGGTGGGTTGCACCATCTTAGATTAACTTTGACAAACGTCTAAAATCTGTCAAACTCCATACAAAAAACACTGGTTATCGTCATAGTTACGGTCAAAGTTAGGTGGTGCAATTCACCCTATTGGTTTTCGATCAAATCGAAGCTTATCACCGGGGTTTTGGTAATCGCAATGAAAATGGCAAGTGTTTCGATCCGATTCGATTTTGATTGAGTCTTAAATGCATGTTGGCTAAGCCTTTGTATGGGAAATGTCAATCCAGTCTTTCGATTATCGATAGGTAGGGCTTTGCGATTCGATTTTTTGCCATTTGGCTAAGCCTTTTTTGTTATCGACCACTTTTGCGATTTGTTTATTTGTTTGCGACTGGTTTGCGATTTTAAAGTGCGTTTTGACTAGACCCACCGGTGATAAGCTTCGATTATATCGAAAACCAATAGGGTGAGTTGCACCACCTAACTTTGAACGTAACTATGACGTTAACCGGTGTTTTTTGTATGGAGTTTGACAGATTTTAGACGTTTGTCAAAGTTAAACTAAGATGGTGCAACCCACCCTAAGGCTGTTTTGACAAATCCGTATCGCGATGTCGTTTTGACAGCTAGTTTGACAACGAAGCATAGACGTAAACAGAGAGCAGAAAGAAGGAAGAAACTAATTTAAAAAAAAAGCTAAAAATAAGTAAAAACAATCGCAAAGTCATAAACTTTTTTTAACTTTTATTCGATTTTGAATGAACTTTTATATCGCCGCGTCATTGGTGGTTCAATGTGCATTTTGGCTGCCATTTTCCGATCGAATCGAATTACTGGTGACGCGGCGACTGACATTAGTGAAAACTTCCTATTGGTTTGCGATGGCATTTTGACTAGACCCACAGGGGTGATTTACTGTTTGTACCTTACTCCGAATGACTGTCGTGTCTACACTGATCAAAATGGCGCGAATATTTGCTATGCGCAAATTTGGGGCCCTGTAACTTTTGTATTTGTAGATATATTTTCATGATTCTTTCACAATTAATATTAGTTTAACGTATAATTTCAAGATTTATTAAACGAAAAAAATTGGAAACTTGTCCATTATAATTTTAACTATTGTAAAATATTCAATAGCGCTGAAATTTCAAATCTCTTATCAACTTTTGTCAGTATTCTTTAAATGACATTGCGCAGATTACCTGGCGACTTAAGACATTTTTATATACTTGTTGTTCAAGTTGCGATATAATGGTCTCTTCTGTGTGTGTCATAAATATTGTGCAACAAACACGTCATTATAAAAATCAGATATATTATACACTAGCTTTCCGCCCGCGGCTTCGCCCGCGTGGAATTTTGTCTGTCACAGAAAAACTTTATCGCGCGCGTCCCTGTTTTAAAAACCGGGATAAAAACTATCCTATGTTCTTTCCAGGGACTCAAACTATCTCTATGCCAAATTTCATCAAAATCGGTTGCGAGGTTTAAGCGGGAAAGCGTAACAGACAGACAGACAGACAGACAGACAGACAGACAGACAGAGTTACTTTCGCATTTATAATATTAGTTGGGATTAAAAGTTGAGAGATTGCATTAATCGACTAACATAATAAACAAGGATGTCTTAAAATTAGATATAGAATCCGGCAGTGTTCTAGCAAAACCCGGAATAAGTTAAGAGCGTTTACGTCTAGCGTGGCATGTCAAGTTTAGGTAATTTCGATGCTATTTTTATTCACACTAAAATAAATTGTGATTGTGTGCGTGTTCTCACGCTCTATAGTCAAACCAAAATACTTTGATCCACCATCGTAAAAGTGTGCCAGGCTGTCAAGTGACAGCCCAAAGAAACTATAAAATCTTCAAATCTTCCAACACCGACTCTATAATTATAAATAATGGTATACATTAGTCCTAATCAATAATAAATTCTTTATCAAATAGTAAATTATCAAAGGTTTTTTACTATTTTGAGAACATTTTATACAGCCTATGTTCAGCAGAAAAAAAATGAATTTTAATGGTGAGAGATTTTTTCAAATCGGTTCTATTCAAATCAAACTTTTCCTGTTTACTATTCTTTTTTTATCCGGAAAATGCATAATATTTCATACCCACCAGCTGCGGGGGCAGCTAGTGGGTTATGTGGGGTTCTTCCTACCAGAAGGTGGGTAGCCCCTACACCCACTAAAAACCTGACTGTTTCTGACATGATCCATATGAGTGATATGAGGGAACGCGGGACATCGCCATTGGCTGTTGCCTGTAGCATTCGTCCTTAGCCGCCACCAGACACCTCCATGTCTAGCGACCGAGGCCTGTTAGGAAGGGACAGTTGGAGACCATAAGCTGTCCTCTTGCGCCCAGGGTGTCGGCGGCGGATAACCGGAGTGTCGGCTGAGGCCTCTCGCTCCCCCTTTCCACTGCTTCTTTCTGTGAAAGTGTTCTTTCAGCACGTTACGAACATTTCTGAGCTCTTACTGGACGTCGATTCCAGTCAAATGACGATTTCATAGAGAGGTTGACATGAAAAAACGGTCTTCCCTCTGCAATGTGCGCCGGCGCTGTTCAGAACTTAGTCTCGGGATAAAGCCACTAGTCTCCCGAAAGCGTCTTGAAACTTTCGAAACCCAGGACTGGCTTATGTGGCGCTGACGTGCGACAGCCCGCTGGCTGAGCCTTTCTTGCAATAGTGCAACGATTTGTGCTGCTTCTGAAGGTGTAGAATACCAGGTAAAGTGTCAAAAGAAGCGAAGATGTGTATGAATCAACGTGTGAAAGCAAAAATCTAAAAACGCGTGCTATTATAGGGGGTAAATAGGCCGCAACTCGCGACGTATCAAACAGTTCATACATGTCTTTTTCGTTACTTCTTCACATCAGCCGGGATATCTTTTTAAATACTGGTGTGATTTAAATGAATTGGGTATCAATTTAAAGATAAAAGTTAAATCATTAAAATGGTGCCACTTTTTTTGTTACTAACAAATTCGTTAATATACAAGTTCGCGTGGAAACAATTCATGTAAGTGATTCCATAGTTTTGCTCGCGAGTGTAGTAGTTTTCAAATACTCATAGAAAAAAAATTACAATGAATTATTTTAAATTTCAAAGTAAATATTTTAGATAAGATATTCTTCTATTGTATTAAGCTATTTTTGTGTTGAATAAAGGAAGAATAATGGTGAAAAAATCACTTTGATTTTTGGGTATTTCACGTTTTTTTAATTTGTGATTTCTTATTGTAAAATGCTTAAATCTAAAAATTTTCTCAGATAACTATTTGCCCAAGGATCTACATATGCNTAGGATATAAATGTTTGTTAAATCGTTTTCACAGTATTTTTATAAAAATTTCAGCTTGTAAACTGACGCTAAAGTGGAAATTTACAAAACCTGGGTGGACTTATCTTGATATAATTCTTGAATACTAAACTAATCGCAATATTTTCTCAATTAACTATTTAGACGACGAAATTGCCTAACTATTTATGCCTATAATATATTTGTAGTATTACTGGTTAATGATTGTAACGAGTTGAAAAAGTACTGTTTTTGCGCCAAACGGCGTAAACGCTCTTAAAGGCCTAAGAGCCCTAGAAGGAACAACTAGATATATGGGAAATAGGCAAGGGAGAAGAAAAGCACTAACGTGATAAATCCAAATTAACTAACGTGATTAATATCTGAATCGGTAACTTGTAGAAAGAACATTCCGTTTGTTCAAGATATTGGAGAGTCAAATCATTACGTCTTAAAGTTCTTAACTTCTTAAGAGCGTTGTCACATTTTTCATGCAGAAATCGAGAATTTGGCAGATTTCGAAATGATTTTAGTCATATAATTTATTGTTATAGCTTCTTTTGACTTATATCATCGTAATTATCATACGTTTTTACGGAATGTCTATTGACAAAATCTCGTTCAAATTGGATTTTTGCCTACGANTAGTTTTTATGATGCGGGATGGAAAAATTAAAATGTATTCTGATTTTGTGACGTTTCCGCACATAAATATGGATAGGTTAAATAAATATAATGAAATGTATGAAAACGAGCGTGCCATTTTTTAAACGTTATCTATAATATCTGTGTCCATCAAAGAGCTCGTAACTAAACATCGTAAGCGCCATCCAAATTATTATACAGGGTGTTTGGCGCATCGTGTGCCAAAATGATTTGGCGGATAGAATGGGCCATTTCCTATATTTTCAGCCCCCATAACACGTTCCATGTCAGGCGGCTACTTTTATATTAAGTTTTTTAGTAATTTCACCAAAATACCCAAATCGTATCATTTAATTTCGATTTTAAAAAAAACTACTAAGCGTAGCCTCAAAGTAAATATTTTTTTTGACGTGCATTGATATAGGGTTGCATCGAATCTAAATNCAGATACAAATATTTGCTTGTGTTGATCGCTTCAACTCTCACTCACTCGAGCGCAACCGTTCGATCACCGTCCGTCCTCTAATGGTCTATTGTGGTGATCTCACTCTAAGAACAAGCATTTAGAAGTTTAGGCTGAGTACTCTATTTGCCTCTGGAACTCAGTCATGCAGCAAAAGAGACTAAATGACCAGATCATGACGATGATGATGAATATGTAATGCACAGATTACTCTTAAAAAAAGTTATGCCCATTACGACCACGCAAATTAGCAGAAAGGCGCTGAATGCCAACCGGTCAATATCGAAATCACTTGGGGAGGGCTATGTTCAGCAGTAGACGTCCTGTGGCTGAAATGATGATGAAGATGGTGCACATCCTTCTTGTTTAAATCACGATACGTAAAATTAGGCTACGAATACGCCAACGATATGTTGTAGTGTGACCCGCCATGTCCGCAGATGAGCCGCGCAAGACCGACACCAACTACTCCAAGAGTCGTGTCAAGGTGTCGCCCTACCGCCGCAGTTTGAGGGCAGACCACACGGCGACCTCCATGCTGGCCAACTACACAGGTCAGTGGTCTACACAGGGCAGCGCTCGCTACACAGGGAAGTGCTCACTACACAGGACAGCGCTCACTGCAAAAGGGAGTGCTTACTACAGAGGGCAGTTTTCACTATACAGGTCAGCGTTCACTGCACAGGGCAGCGCTCACTACACAGGGCAGCGCTCACTACACAGGGCAGCGGCCAACTACACAGGTCAGTGCTCGCTACACAGGGCAGTTTTCACTACACAGGGCAGCGCTCATTACACAGGGACTGTTAAAGTCTTCCTGCGTTGGTACTCAACACTTTACCATCGAAATATCGTCTGAAAATAAATGTTTTTTTAATTTAAACCAAAATTTTTTCTCTGTAAGGAAATTTATTATACAGATTTTAGAAAAGGATTTATGACAGGTTTAACTGCCCCATCAAAATTTCTATTTCAACGTTTGTATCTCTCTTCAGGAAACAACACAACAATGGAGATGGACATCACGGAATCTTCCTTCGTGTCCCACGAGGAAGGTTCCTTAGACGACAGCTCGTATCTGTCAGGGTTACGAAGCATCCGCGGCCGCCGCTCCTACAAGCCGCTTAAAGAGATGACGCTCCGCCACGTGACAGCCAACCGCAGCGCCAACAAGTCCGCGGCCAATGTGTCTGGTGAGTATCACTACAGACTAGTGGTAGTCATTACTCAAGAGATGGCGCTGGCATCTGCATTACTATGGCACACGCCACCGCGCCTACGAAACCTGCATCGCGTTCGCGGTATCAAAGTTTTTCGCCCTGAATAGTATATTATAGAAAACTGAGATGTATAGCCTGACCAGGAACATAAAAACCCTCGCCATGTTGCGGAAAACTAATGGTACTAATTTCTTTTAATGGCAACAGTAACTGAAAACTTCATTGACATGTCACCTTGCATGTCAGTCTATTGTTGTCAAAGTGTAAATTACTTTACTAATTAATTTAAATGTTTGCAATTGATTTAGTTAATTGCTAAAATATTTTTATAGTCGTGAAAGAAAAGTGGTTCACGATGTGTTAATGTATTTGTCGAAGAGAAATACTATGGGTTCGGACAATATTTTCATTAAATAATGTTTCCGACAAAGGTTGTCAAATTGACTGACATGTTTATCGTATAGTACAGTCCACTATGAAAANTAATTACGATGATATAAGTCAAAAGAAGCTATAACAATAAATTATATGACTAAAATCATTTCGAAATCTGCCAAATTCTCGATTTCTGCATGAAAAATGTGACAACGCTCTTAAGAGTCACATCATTTGTTAGCACTCAAGATTGACGAAAAGGATGGCGAAGAAATAATTCGCATGAAAGTACAAAAAAAAATCTTATCGTATTTTATGTCAATTTTTAGAACTTCATCGAAGTTATTAATGCTAAGAAGTTACATAGATATGATAAGTAATTCAATATCGCAGATAGATAATATCTGCACCAGTAGAAGAAATCCAGTGGGAACTATTTCAACATAATAACAAGATAGCGGGCAGATAGCGCCCGCCTTTCCGGCTATCATAATAAACAAAACCATAATATTGACAAAGGTACATGATAACACGACAAACTATGTAAATGAAATCTCACTATAACATCCATAACAATCTAATACAATACAAACTTGATGAAGGTAGGTTTAACTCCTTTTTGCATAATAAAACTACTTTCAAGGTATAGTATACCTTGAAAGTAGTATCACTCATCAACTGTTACCGTTGCAGCGTTGTTATTAAATTTTTAGCTTAAAGCTGAATCTTGGGTTCGATTCCCCGGCTTTTGTAAAAAAGTATGTAGCATAAAATATTGAACTTCTAGTGAACAGTACAGAACAGAACAGGTAAACAATTTGGAATTAAAAATAAGGGAAGAATTTAAAGCTGAATCTTGGATTTGATACCCTAGCTTAGTCATATAAACTGGTGAAAAGAAATAATTTGCTGTCCCCCGTTTATTTACAATAGATATACCTACATATTACGAAATATGACTCTGATGCCTAACACAAGCTTTTTGGCGAGGAGATTTAGATTAGGTAACACACTAATGGTTTACCACATAATTACTTATCTAGAAACATGTGATGCGAAATGCAAATTCTTTGCACGTGAGTTTGGCTCGCCCCAGACCAGTTTTTTTTTCTACTTCAATTCGTAAGTTCCACTTTTCATCTGCTTCTATTTTATTTTTAGATCATAGACTTAATACCGACTACTATTAAGACTGGGCGATGTATGGTCCTAAGATTTACTTACATTTATAATATACCAGATAAGGTGATCCGGTGGTGGACTTTACAATCAGTAACTTATATTTATACGCGATAATGAAAATTACTTTTAATGATACGTAGAGAGTATTTAAAAATATTTATGGTAAGTTGTTTGTTACCATTTAACTTTTAATTATTTGTGGTAGAGTTTAATCTTTCTTTGACTAAGCGATCTAACGCTCTGATAATTTTAAATGAAACTCAAATCGTGTTTACAAGGAATGATGAGTTGCTACCTCAAGGGAGCGTAAGTAATCTGATCAAATGAAACAACTAATGAGAACATAAATGGCGTAATATATTGGTAGGGGACCGAGTGGCCCGCACCAGATATGTGTATCATCATCTCAATCAAATTAATAACGAATGAGTATATCATATAATACGAGTTTGTAACTTATTGCTTGCAAAATAAGTTAAAACGAATCAATGCTATATTTTAAAGTATTACGATTTCATTTGGGACTAATGAGTCTACATAAACTGTTTATTTTTAAGATTGATGGTATTTTGACGCTTAACAAAAAACCTAATTAAATTATTCAAGAAAAACAATCAGATTTCAGTTTTGAGAACTCTAGATTGTAACTGCATACTCGAAGAAAACATTCTATTATCATTCCAGTCTAAAAAACAAAATAATCGTTCAAGCGTAGATCTCCATTGGGACCGATCCATAGCGACATGCAACCAAGTATTTATGTAACTGTCTGTCTACCTTTATGTGTAGATAATACTTCGTCAAATACTTTTTGTACTTGGCTAGGTACAAAGTACATTTGACAGTGATATGTTTACGATCACAATTAAGTTTCTCTTAGTGTGTTTTTGAACCAATAATACTTAAATAGATAAAGCTACATTGAATGCTATTGGTTATAGCTTGATTGATAAATAAATTGATTTTCAACAAAGTTGAAATAAGTATTTAACATAATTATTATCACCTTTGGCCATAGCACATAATTTTTATTTATAAAAATGTTCAATGCATTTTTATTTATAGCGCATATTTTATTATTTTCCTCATCAGTAGTACCTACCTAATTCCCGACACAGTTGACCGTTGAAAAAACTTTTTTCACATGAGTCTAGACTTAAAATCGTGAATGCGAACCGCTATTATTAATTTACCTCAGGAAATTTTAACACGCTAGGTAATTTATGCGGAAGACCATCTTAATTGAGCATCAACTATCTGTCGAGTTTTGTTGTCAGCCGACCACTTTGTTTAATTATATCAATTTTATATTTTTGAACAAGCGACACGCGATGGGTTCGCCCGAATATTATCCGTAGGCAACCCTTTCTCGGGAATCGAATAGTGGAACTTGTTAATGTTAAGAGTTAAAAATTAATATGCAATAGACGTATTTTTAAAACATTAGAATTCCCATTCGCATACGAATTTGTGGAAATACTAACTTTTGTGTGATTTCGCGTGCGGACTGGGATTCGAACACCACAGAATAATAATAAGTGTGTACTACGATTCGAACGAAGGCTTTAAAATTTAAGTTTTTTGGTCTAGAGATAAACGGGGCCGGTTATTTTAAAATGCATAATATTTGAATGGATAATAAAAAAAAAATATGACAATCAATCAAAGCACAGAAATAGTAGAGCAGTGTGATGAGGTTTTTCTCATCTATCACGTGTGTCTTAGGCAAAATGTGACAAGTTTAACAAGTGTAGTTTAAGTGCTAAGCAAGTTGCCCGCAAAGAATCCCCGCAAATGCGTTGCGTCACGTGGGCGGGCGGATCGATTGGGCGGGCAGCGGCGGGAGCGCTTGCGCGAACTCGATCCTCTCCTCCCTCGTATCGACCGCTAACTTTTAACTCCACGCTTTTGGGGCAGGTTAGGCCTATGTTCTAGGGTCAAGGTCACGTTTCCTCCCGCTAAAATATTCGTTATCCTGCCCGCAGTCACAGCTTATTAGATAAGGGCGCCTGTGTTAAGTAACGCCTGAATATAACGCGTTATACATAGTTAAGACATATTTTGTTAAAAAATAATCACTAAAATAACAATTTTATAGTAGGTATCATCATAATAAATGTTAATCAAAATCATTTTTAAATGTCAAATAAATAACTGATCCATGATGATATTGAACTATATTTTTGGAGCAGATAAATAAAATTGATAATACACTGTACATTTCCTATATTTTAATCATCAAGCGCTAAATCAAAAGCTAAATGAATTTGGATAAAATTAAGCCGATGAATTTGCCACCCACCTGTTATATAAATAAGTTTATTTAGATGTGTCAAACATGCTAATCTTCCATATATTTAGAATAGGATGATTCACAGTGTAGGTGGTGCCGCGATATAAATATGTCCCACAGTGTCGCACAAGGGTTTATTGTCGCCCTTGTCTATTTACACCCCCATCATATAAGAGTACCTAGTTAATTTTTAATTGATGGTGGAACACTATCAATTAATGTAAATTAAGGCGNTTAACAAGATTTGTTATAAATTACTCGAGAATACAAAACATGATAAACTGAGATGACACTTGGCTCAGAGAACTGACATAACATTATTTCAGTCGTCGTAACCCAAATTTACACTCCGTGAAAATACTATTTTCTCTGGAAATGCGCATAACTTTCTGTTACAAATGCATACCACGCGAGCGAAGTCGCGGAAAAGGCAAGTTATTAAGAAAATACGTACGACCTGAGAACCAGTTTGTGCGGGTTGCATTGTCATGTGGGCACATGGTTTAAAACTCCTCCTAGAGTTTACGCAACTTACGTACAAAGTTACCAATGCCAAGATCAGGAAAAACTCACGCAGCGCTGGCAAAGTTACGTTACCGTTCGCAATGTGTTAGCTTACAACACTTAACAGTATTGTTAGTAACAACCAGACGAGTTCAGTATAATGACCGGTCATTGCATATTTCTCAAGTCTAGGCTATAAAGGCAAGGCTAATACAAAGCCATTGCTTTCTCCATTTCATACATTACGTTAATACTATCGTGCGTATCCACGTTGTTGGAATACTTATTATGTAGGATATCTTTTTGTAACCGACTCTATTTTTTACTATCTAGGCGGTTCAAATATAACTAATGAGCTCGCGTATGAATTATTTAATAGCAAAAGTTTACAAGCAATAAATAGTGAATACGACAAACTTCTAAATTAAAACCATAGTAACTAAAACCTTAAAGAAAAATTAAGATTGCATCAGCTGCTGAAACTGCAGTATAAAGTATTAAATCATCGAGGTAATACAAGTCTCAAACACTAATAAAATAGTTTTCATATTCCATTTTAGGGCTGATCAATTGGCCAAATGTTTGTTTTGTTTTTGGTCCTACTTAATCTTATATTGACGTTCATGTGCGTAGTAACGTAACGTTTATTAAATTTTGAAGATGTATAGTCTTTTTTATATCTAATGCAGGATCTTTTTATCAAAAGTTTCAGAATAAAACTTTCGTATTACACCGAATGTAAGATTTGTTGCGGTTTACTCTAAGATTAAATTGTTAAATATTCAAAGAGAAATAAAACTTCTAGCGAGATTAAATTAAGAGTATAGAATTGTTCATTGTTTACATAGTCGAATTTCCCTGTGCTTCTAAAAAAGTGCGTGATGCGCGGGCAACGTGCGCGCCGGAGCCCGGCGGTGCTGCCGGCGGCGGTGGCGGGAGGCGGCGGCGGGCGGCGGGCGGCGGCGGCGGGCGGCTCCTCCGCGCGGATTGATCGCACCCGGACTCAGCCGGCACGCGGAGCTCCGACGTCGTCATGGAGACCGTCTGCCGCTGCTGCCGACCCGGCGTCGCCATGATTACCGCGCAGATTCAATAACTCGGCGATATTCAATCAAAGCCTTTTCACATACACATTATTATTATGTAATATGCTACTTGCTTTTTCATTTGTACGGCTTACTTCGAAACTAACCAATTTATCGACTCTTTCAAGTCGTAAATTAAAGTTATATTTATCGGCTAGTTTTATGAAGCCTTATTTTTTGTTATAATTCAATAGAATTCTCATCTAACTGAATTTATTACATTTCTTCTACCTGTCTAATACGCAATAATATTTTTTTTATCCACAACGAGGAAGCTCTTGGCCTGTATCTCACCTGATGGTAATTATAATCCTGCAGTCCACAACAGTCCTAAATAGTTTCGCATTTCTTTTAAAAGTGTTTCACCTTTCGTCCTACATGCAATGCAACGAGATTCAAGACGTAAAAATTGCTATTAGAATAGCAGGAAGAAGTTTAAAGGACATTTCAATTTAAGAATGATAGGTGACTATCCAAATCGTGGGAATAATTGATTCTCACACGGCTGCCGACACTTGAACTAACGCGCCTATTTTAGGCATGCTAGTGATGCATAACAAATGTAGACGAATAAAGTCTATGGAGTTATTAAAACGAAAACGTTTTTCTTACGTTATTTATAATAAAACGAATACATAATACAATTACCTATAGTGTTTTTCCAGCAAACATTGTGAAAATCATGGTGGCAATTCTATTGAATAATCAAAGTAAAATAAGATTTTATACTTACCGCCTAAGACACGAAAATTTTATAATGTTTATTATACTTTGGCAACTGTGTATTTATCTTTTTATTCACTATGGGCACGAACTAAAAGATACTTTTAGATAAACCAACAACCGAATCGCCACCATTGTTTCCGAGTTTGACAGTAGCCACTTCAAATGCAATAATTAAACAAATAAAGACCACCACTGATTGCCGATTTATCAAAGATGTTTTTAAACTTTGAATAATGGTGATAAATATGAAAGAATATGAGTACGGATAGAACATGCTAATCGAAAGGGATATTAAAATAGAAAATCCAACTAAGTTGTATGTATTCATCTAAAATAATTACATACCTTGCATTTTCAAAGGCCAAAACTGGCATAAATGATTCATTGAAGATAATGGCGC